ATATATATATATATATATATATAGTATTTATATATATAGTATAGTAAATGCTTTAAATTCATACCTGTGCTAATATATTACACAGCTGCGGAAAGCTTCATATCAACTAATTAAATGACATTTAGGTTTATCCAGTTACGAAAAACAATATTAAAAGAAAATTTCTAGGCATTCGAAAATTTATTCGAGTGCACACAAATTATTTCTCATTCTTTTATCCGTAAAATTTTTCTGATTTTAACGAAAATTTGATTTTCGTTATGATGCGAAAGCACTCGCAAAATGTTGCTTTCAGAAAATAAATAAATACTAGTCTTTTTCTGAAAGCAACGTTTTGCGAGTGCTTTCGCATCATTTCTTTTACAATGAATATATAAATGCTTTACTAACCTGCCCCTTATACCAAACTGCCCCGGCATATTCAACGCACAGATTTGGCAATTACGATTTTAATACTTATATGGGAGATATATGGATCGGCCGTCAGTCTCGTCATCGCCTTCGAATTTTCGATATTTATGAGGTGAGTGTGCCGAAGAAATTAATTTAATGTTCTATTTTCTCGATTATTATGTTTCTCTGTTCCATCTTTCTATATACTATTTCTATCCCATATTGTAAAATCGATTGACTGGTTAGTTAATCAATTTAAGAATATAGAATAACACGAAAATTAATATCTCCATTGCATCTAAAAACTAAATTAATAAATATAAAGTTGCTTTTTTAAATATCTATGTAATGTCATATATGTAGTCTCATATTGTTAGTCGGTAAATTTTAGTTCACTACGCAAGGAAAGATGAAGTAAGGACTGAAAGTTACTTCCTACCGCTAAAAATAAAAAGAAGTGAAATAATAATATAAAAAACATGTACATATCATATATATGTAATATATAATAAATAAATAATATATAATGTATAATATGTGTGTGTGAATTAAGAATATAAATATTAATAAATTTGATATTATAATTGCAGATATCTGCAAACGAGATTCAAATTAGCTAATGATCTCCTTAGAGAAAGCGTGGCAGTGTCGACGACAGAAGGAAAAAAACTGGATGTTCCCGCTACGGAGGATTATAATGAAATCATGGATAGCAAACAAGGCCCGAACATTATTTCTATAAAGGTGTCATCTCAGTTGGGTTGGCAGCTGGAGTCCCGAACACGAATTTCAATGTCAGGGAAACATATTAATTACATTCGGAAACGTAATCTTGTTAGATCGCGAAATCGGTCTCCCCTGCCGACTCAACACCAAAATCAGTTCCAAATGGAACTTCAGGACCAAACCAGAAACCAATTCAGAGATTCACATTCAGTCCGAAGATCAATTATGATCACAAAATGTCGGAGAAGCATACACTTATTGCAAACGATCAGGTGAATATGAATTATGTGCCAAAATATTAAAGTAAAAATGGAAAAACAAACGTGTATGAGAAATAGATGAAGGACAAGTAAACGGAGTACTCTATAAAAAAAAAACACAATTTTTATAAATACACAATATTTAAAATTTGACAATTTTTGTTTTGGACAGTTTTGCCGGCTTAATATTTAAAAATATGTTTTATAATTTATATATCTTTTTTTATCACTTAAACGTTATTCAGGCAGGTGCACTTGGAACTATGCAGGGTATTCAAAATGCTGTGCATCAGCTTTGGCATACAGATCGCATCGGAAATCGATATCTGCATCATTTACACAACTCTATTTTTATATTATTTGTATCTCCAGTTGAAGCAGTGGCAAGTTGTTATAAATGGCGGACTGACATTTGTAATGTTTGCTGAAACCATATTAGGAAGCGCTTACATGCTGGAGATCATTCTCATAAAACTCGCTTGCAAGCACGCGACCAACGAGGTGACTCCTCCCGCGCGATACTTCCTAATTGCAAACTTTCTAGATAATTGTTTTAATTAACGATATTCATCATTCACACAGGGAAAGAAAACCAGCGCGATCATTCACGAGATTTATGGCTGCTGCCCTGATATCGATATACGAAACGAGGTTTGTTCGCAATGGAAATCACCACCGTTAATCGCGATTCATAAGTCATCGTTCTAATTGGCAAATTCTTTCAGATTTTGCAATTTGATCTTCAGGTAACGCAGAATCCCATAGAGTTCTCCACGTTTGACATCTTCTTACATTATCAGATCCTAAGCTCGGTTTGTAGATTCGCACTTAAAATGCATATTATATGTTACAGTATAATCAAAAATACGAGTGGTGATTTATGATGATTTGTGATTTTACGCTTTACTGTCCGCAGTGTTTGAAAAGTATGACGATTTACATAGTTATCATGATAGAAATGAGTAACTACCTGGGTTCGAGTTAAAATTGGAAAAGGGAGAAGAAGCCGTTAAGAAATTGTAGATATTAATAAAAAATTAATAAATATTTTATGGGATTTATCGTATATAAAATAATTGTCAATGTATATATGTTCTAGATGTGTGTATCCTGAAATATCTTGTAGAAATAGAAACCATACAAAATAAAATAGAGATATAAAGAAGAACAAAGAAAGATTTTTACGCAACGATGTATCTAATCCATCTTTCCAAACAAATTGATGCAACTTTAACGTCTTTAAGTTAAATGTTAAGTTTAATTGTTGCGTTTGTGGCTTGAACTCAGTCCTTTGATTGTTCATTACAATATTAAATACGACGGAAACTATCGGATGTGAACGTATTAAGTGTACGCTTAAAAAATACGTGTCATTTATTGCATGACATATGTTCTTCGTCCCATCTTTTGATCTTTTTCCCCAACCTAATACATAATATTACTTAATGCATAAAATGAGCTTTCCGCAAGTTAATCTGCAGAAATAATTTTTCAAATTCAAATTTAACATCTCTCTCGACTCGATTAATAGAGTAAAATTAACTATAAAAATTGTGTATTTATTTTTACGATATTCGATATACCAAAGTGGAAAATCACCGTAAAAAAATTCTCTGTGATTAATATCCTTTCTGAACGATGTCGACCGACAATATCTTTAATTGATAATTTGACAACATTACACGATATTACGCAACGTAACATAATATTGGACAAATGACACATTTAATTAGTGGTGGATCATATGTTATAATCGCGATGCGATGTATCATGTTCCCGGCGTGGAATAAATGACGAGGAAGTAAATTTTCTCATTATTTTTAACCATCGAGATACGTAATAATCCTGTGACATCTCTCTTGTTCGCCTGGAAAAAATAGAGAGGAAAACATTAACTCAACTACATTCCCCGACTGATTACAATTCAAGATAATGCAAAATTCCCTAAACAAGCGTAAATTATGCACGGAAAAGTTATGTAATAGCGTACGGCGCACTTTAATAGCGACAAGGTCGGTCCCCGCTCTATATATAATTAATATATCCTACAAATACACTTTTCCATCTAAGTAATAATTAAGAATTTACTCGGTTAAACAACGCCAGCGTCGCGATGCGGTTATCTCGACATGACGGTTGAGCTCGATAGGACTGACGATCTCAAGCGCGATTGTAGGTGGTAGAATATAATTAACATCTCTCTATACTATCTTCATCACTTCTGTCCGGAGTAATAAAGAGCTGCGTTCGCGATAGTCGCATACAGTAATGACCATCCCGCTCGACCGTCTTTAAGCCAGCTGGCTGCTTTTTACGCACCTGTGCCTTGTATAGTCAGTCACAGAAAGATTGCATTCTTTTTTTATAAGTCCCAGAATATATTTTATGTCTAACAAAAAGAAATTGTTTTTATTGATTCTCAGGGGAGATACAATTTTCTATTGGATACGAGACTCAAAATTTGTCGAAGGAAAAGTTACAACCTTTTTATGGGCTGGCTGTAGTCGCATTAAAATGATTAGGTGTACCGCGAGCGCGTTTGTTTAACAAATTTCTCATCAGGTACTTGACCCTCTCGACATGGTGGAGTGCTGCAATGACCGTCGCGATTCGTTTGCAACGCGCTTTCGCTCCATGCAATAATTATTTATGAGCACTTGCACGCTCTTTGGTCGTGCGGCGAATGACAGACCGTTGATAAGTTCTGATAAGACAAACGAGGAGTGAAAGTAGTAAAAACAGTAAGCTTCGCAACACAATCTGTTTCATTGTCATCGTCGACTACCGTGCGGGACGACTTTGTGAAGCTTAATGACTCGCACAATATTACCAATTATATATGTGTGTGTGTTATTTTAACTGGAATATCGTAAGAGACAAATTCTGTTTGTTATACGTCGTATCAATTTAATGTTTTTATCTGAATTTTTTTATATAACTTCGTCTCTTTCTATTTCTATTCCTTACACGCTGAGCAGCCGATATAAACATTCAGGAACTTTGTTTATTTAGGAACTTTGCCCGTGAAAAAGAAGAGAAATATTTGAATTTTGCTTGCCATCGTCGATGATGTTAATGAGTTCTCTTATGAGATAATTATTATTCGTGACTGTGAGCACGGTACTGCTGTTTCGCCGATCATGCGTGCTAGTTTCTCACTTGGAATATTTCAATGCGACGGTCGGTGATTAAAATCCTAAGTGTGCAAGGAAGCAAAGGAAAGTCTTCGAGATGAAACTACTCACGGCTCCGAAATACCTGTCCGATGCGATATCGCCGATTGTTACCCTGAACTACCTTGTGGGACTTCGCATTTTCGAATATCCTCGTGGAAAATTACGCATCGTGCCGAGCCTGATCTACCTCCTGTTCCTGCTCAGCGTTTTCTGTGTGTCCACAAATGCAGAAATTATATTCTTCAATGATGATATTCTACATGATAATATGTTGAAGCTAGAGCGTGTTTTGTACAAATTCCTAGCCAATATAAAAGTCTTCTTCACTGTGTATGAAATGCTTCATGGTTATTTTTACACGAAGGTGAGTGCGAACAAACGCATTGAGTCATAAACAGTTTTTTTTCTTTTCTTATCGTGCAAATTGACCTTCGCAGACAGTCAACGCATGCTACCGAAAAATGATCCAGATCGACGAGACGTTGCGACAACTTGGATCAATGTTCAACTACAATGGAATATACTTTTTGTCAATCGGATCTGTAGTTGTCTGGTTCTTGTATATCCTCTGTATAAGCATCTTGAGGGAGGAGGAGATGAAGGATTACGAGTCAGGTTCGGTAACTTTTCTGAATTTCGATATTAATACTTATCAGATAACTAATTATTGTGGTTGAGCTAAGCAACGATGATATCGACAACCTTCCTCTATGTTTTTGTGTTACGAAAAATCCTGCAACCTAGATATTTTCGTCTATAATAACCAAAATACAAACATGGAGTATCTGCACCTGCGTAACATTATATATAGGATGTCCCAAAATTATGTAGAATGCACCGAGAGATTCTTGGTACCAAAACAACTTTTCGTTTATCAAAATTCCGCTTGTATGATAGTTTATAAATGCGATTCAAAGATATCGAATTAGCATGCCAGGTTACATACCAGTCAGGAGTAGCTCGCAGCACGCACGTCCTGCGAAACCACGTTATAGGAGTTCTGTAGGCTGTTTTTTTTCTACCCCACTAGAGATTATTTTACACAACTATGCGTAATATTTAAATTTATATCTTAAAATAAAATTTATTTGATACAAAATAACTTACCGATACCACTGAAAAAATGGCTAAATATAAAATAATATATTTAAGTGACAGAAAATTTTATATTAACCAATTACACGTCACTTAGGTTTATCCAGTCGCGATAGAAAATATTAACAAAAAATTTCGATTCGCTCGAAAAGTAACTACGATGCTCTCAAATCATATTTCTTTTTATGTTAACCGTAATATTTTTCCTATTTTGATGAAAAGATTAATACCTAAGTTCCGAAAGCAACATTTTGCGATTCCTTTCGCATTGTTTCTTTCATAGTGAGTATATAAACGAAACATTTTATTAACCTGCCCCTTATTCAAACCTGTCCCGGTCTCTCCTATTCACAGATCTACTAAGTGTAATTTGGATAGTTATATCGGACATACAGGCAACAAGCATCAGACTCCTCGTCATCTTTGAATTTTCAATATTCGTGAGGTGAGTTTGTCAGATAAATCAGTTCTATGTTCTGTTTCTTTTATATTATCTATTTATATTATCTATTTTTCTATATTTTATTTATTCTATATTCTATTTTTTTATTCTCTATTCTAAAACCGATTAATTATTTAATTTACGAGAATTAATACCACTGTCGCAGTAAAGACTAAATTAAAAATATAAAATTGCTTTTTAATATTCTATGTAATATTTTGTCTTATGCTGTTGGTCGGTAATTTTTAATTCATCATGCCTTTCCAAAAAAATTGGGACTGATATTAGGTTCTTCTATTAAAAGATGAAAAGAAGTGAATTAATAATATAAAAAATATATAAATTATATCAAATATACAATGTGCATAATATGTGTGTGCAAATTAAAAATATAAATATTAATAAATTTGATATTGTAATTACAGGTATTTGCAAACGAGATTCAAATTACTTAATAAATTACTGACAGAAACGAGATTCAAGTTACTTAATGAATTACTGACAGAAAATGTGGAAGTCTCGATGACGGAGGAAAAAAAACGGAATCATTTTGCTATAAAAGATCATGCTGAAAGCATAGATGGCAAACAACATCAAAACATTTTTTCTATAAAAGTGTTGTCTCAGTTGAATCCGCAACTGCAGTCCCGAATACGAATTTCCATATCAGGAAAACGTGATCTCATTAGATCGCGAACTCAATCTCGTCTGCCGTCTCAATTTCAAAAATTGTTTCAAATGGAATTTCAAAGCCAATTTAAAAATCAATTCAGAGATTCTAATTCGGTCCGAAGGTTAGTTATGATCGCGGAATGTCGAAAAAGGATACACTTGTTGCAAACAATCAGGTGAGCACGAATTACGTGGTAAATTATTAAAATAAGAAAAAAAATAAACGAGGAAAAAAACGATACATTGAGTAAAAAATACATTCTTTTTGTAATTTTTTAAATTTGGCAATTTTTATTTCGTAATTTTGAAGAACAAAAATCGATCTCGGAGCCGCCATTATTTTGCCGTCTCAATAGTTAAAAACACGTATTACGATTTACATACTTGTTCTTATCACTTAAACGTTTCTCAGACAGACGCATCTGGAACTGTGCAAGATATTAAAGACGCTGTGCATCAGTTTTGGCGTACAGATCGCTTTAAATATTGGAACCTCCATAATTTATTTAACTATATTTTTTTACGATTCATACGTCGTGTTGTTCCAGTCGCAGATAATTACAAAATACGTAATATTTGAAGCATTTGGTGAAATTATATATTCAAGTTCTTACATATTGGTAATCGTTCTCATAAATTTCGTTTGCAAGCACGCGACCAACGAGGTGAGTCATCCCGCGCGACATTTTCTAATTGCTTACTCTTGGTAATCGTTAACGATATTCATTTTTCACGCAGGGAATGAAGACCAGCGCGATCATCCACGAGATTTATGGATGCTGCCCGGATACTGATATACGGGAAGAGGTTTGTTGGTGCGATGGAAATCACCATCGTTAATAGCGATTTATGAGCCGTCGTTCTGATTAACAAATTCTTTTAGATTCAGCAGTTTGATCTTCAAATAGCGCAAAGCCCCGTGCAGTTCTTCATGTTTGGCATCTTGTTAAATTACCCGTTTCTAAGCTCGGTTCGTAGATTCGAAGACTTAAAAGCGTATTATTTGTTAAATAAATTGTGAAATAAAGACAAAAATGCGAGTGATAACTTGTGCTTTGCGTTTTTACTGTTCACAGTGTTTGAATACTGTGACGATTTATGTGGTTATCATGATACAGATGAGCAACTCACTGGAATCGAATAAAAACAGTTGATGGACAGAAATCATTAAGGAGAATTAGAGATATTTATAAGTAATTGTATTCTGGAATATTTCCTGTGTGTAAAATAATTATCAATGTATATGTATTCCAAATATGTTTGTATCCTGAAACATTTTGTAAAAATAGAAATTATGCAAAATAAAGTAGAAGAAGTAGAAAAAACTAGCCAAGAACAGATTCCACGCAACGGTACATCTAATTCACTTTTCCAAATAAATTAATGCAATTTTAAGTTTAATTTGTTGTGCATGTGACTTGAATTCAACTCTTTGATTGTTCATTACGATATTAGCTGCGACGGGAGCGGTCGGACTCGTAAATACGTGTGTATACGCAAAAAATGTGTGTCACTTATTGCGTGGTATATCCCCTTTGTTCCACCTTGATTTTTGTAATTCACTAGCTTTTTATTGCTTCAATGTTACATTGAAAATCGTGATAACGGAGTAAACATTGAATTAAACTTTTTTCACTAAAAAAAATGTTGGTAACTCGCAATAGGTGAATAACAACGATCAATTGTTTACATCGACGCGCAGCGGCGCGAACTGGACGCTGCGCGCTATTAGTAAATCATTTGCGTGTATATTTTGATAAAAATGGGAAAATTTTGATATTATTTTATTATCTTATTAAAACAAAACATAGTTCTACGTAGCATTTAATTTGTTTAAACACATTCATAAAAGTTATAAACGATTAGAAATTAATTGTACTTCTCAATCAGTTACGACAAAAATGTTTACATATTTCGATTCCTTATTCAATTTCGAATAAATGAGTGAAAAAAAAGTTGGTAACTCGCAATATGTAAATAACTATGTTCATTTGTTTACATCGATGCAGCGGCGCGAAATGGACGCGGCGCAAACTGGACGCGGCGCGATATTAGTAAATTATTTGCGTGTATTTTTTTATGAAAATGGGAAAATTTTGATATTATTTCATTATCTTATTAAAACAAAACATTGTTCTACGTAGCATGTAATTTGTTTAAAGATATACATAAAAGTTATAAACGATTAGAAATTACATGTACTTCGCAATCAGTTACGACAAAAATGTTTACATATTTCGATTCCTTATTCAATTTCGAATTAATGAGGTAAAAAAAAGTTGCTAACTCGCAATAGGTAAATAACAACTTTAAATTGTTTACATCGACGCGCAGCGTCCAATTCGCGCCGCTGCGCGTCGATATAAACAAATGAACGTTGTTATTTACCTATTTCGAGTTACCAACATTTTTTTTCACTCATTTATTCGAAATTGAGTAAGGAATTGAAATATGTAAATATTATTGTCGTAACTGATTGAGAAGTTCATGTAATTTCTAATCGTTTATAACTTTTATGAATTTGTTTACACTAATCACATGCTACATAGAACTATGTTTTATTTTAATAAGATAATAAATTAATATCAATATTGACCCATTTTTATCAAAAAATACACGCAAATGATTTACTCACAGCGCGCCGCGTCCAGTTCGCGCCGCGTCAAGTTCGCGCCACGTCCATTTCGCGCCGCTGCGCGTTGATGTAAACAAATGAACGTTGTTATTTACCTATTGCGAGTTACCAACTTTTTTTTCATTTATTTATTCGAAATTGAATAAGGAATCGAAATATGTAAACCTCATTCTCGTAACTGATTGAGAAGTACATGTAATTTCTAATTGTTTATAACTTTTATGAATTTTAAACAAATTACATGCTCCATAGAACTATGTTTTGTTTTAATAAGATAATATTATTTTTTATCTTATATCTATCTCTACAACATGCTCAATAATTACAATGCTGCCGTCAAATTGCACGACAACCGAGTGTATACGGTGTTATTCGTTGCAAGTGAGTTTGATTTTTAAAACAATCTATCTGTATAGATGGTCTATATATGGTCGAGAAAGACAAGAAACGTCACTAATTTAGTATATGTTAGAATATTTCGTTTCACAACTATAGGAATAACATCATAATGTATCTTTAAACTTCCTAGTATCGTTAACGAAGTAAGCAACACTTGGCACTTTGCACAATATCGACCTCTCCGGCAAAGTCTCCTGAGCATGCGAGGTATATTCCTATTTATATTTCCATGTACGAATGTCAGTTATACATGGAGTGCCTATGCTATGGTTCCATGTACAGTTTGTAACACCATCAATACTTGATTATCGCATCCTTCATATCGCGCAAACTGTTGCGTGTGATTATTTCTCCTTTACAATTTAACGTTAATTTCATGTAATTTAATTTTATTGTAATTTCTATCGTAATTCTTATCACTTACGATATATTCGACATATTTTCAATTTACATCGGGGACTCGAACGGTTTATCGGTCATGTAATTCCCACGAAGATCGATTCCACACCGTTCATGTCGTGAGCGGGACAATACTTCTGCGAAATAGGACGAGTCGAAATAAATTGATATTTTAATTCTGAGAAGAAAGAAGAGTGACTAATTTCTCTCTTCTTTGTTTTTCAATCGCAATTAATTGAAGTTACGATGAATGCATAGAAATTGGGCGAAACCGTTCTTTTCTCTCGGGGATCGCAGGTGATCTTCTCGAAAAAGCTAAAACACCTCTCACTTAATCCGAGAACACTAACCCTTTATTCTGAGCCTATGTTCCTAATCCTACGTCTTGGAGAGACGTGTAATGATTAAAAAATGGAAAATTTAACAACTTTTTAACGCGATACACATTATATATTAACAGCATATTAACATATATTAACATCGTAAACTTGGACTGTTTGCAGAGAAAATCGATATTATCCACAGCCGGGAAGTCAGGCAAAACATGACACTCTTCCCGTGTTACCTATATAAATCAACTTTTTAATTTTTAATATTATACATTCTCATAATTAATATCAAAATCGGATGCGTGAACTATTTTATAGTTTAAACTAATTTAAACTAATAATTTATCCTTTCTCTTACTGCGCTATACAATTTATAATATTTTACACAGTTTACATTGTATACATGAAAAATGGCAGTATAAACATCACGTAGATAATAGGAAATTATCCATATATACGCAGTTTTAAGATTTAGGGCATTGGTTTTAATAATATCTGTTGGTAAATGACGCCAACGATACCAACAACCCTCAGTGAGCAAGTACACTAGAATGAAGAGGGTTGTATTCCGGACCCATTTACCGACGTCTATCGATCTGATACTTGTAGTCGCGCGGTTATTTTATGATGATATCTGCGAAAGAACACCGAGCCGATAGTTACTGGTAAGAAAAGCGTGCAGGAAATTGCAATTCACCTACGTGTAACACACATATCTGAAAAAACATCTCATAGACGACTTTCAGACGTCGTGAGACGTCTTAATGTTCCTTGAACAGGGCAGCTGCATTCTATTTAAGTTCACTGAAAACTGTTTTCTCTGTGCTTAATTGTAGCGCAAATTAAATTAATTTTAATGTAATTTCGAACTAACTTTTTATCGTGTGTGATTATAACGATACCTGGCGACACCTTAATGATATCTTAAAAATTACGACACTTTTGTAATCGTGCTTTACGCTTCGTGAAACACCGTAAACGCGTAACTTTGCAATATCGAGCTGTTTTCTCAGTGAAGACAGAATAGGACTTCATTTATTTAGCTCAGCTGACAGGTGACCGTCCGAGTCGTCCCCGTGCAGAAATGATCGATACTTGTTTGATTTGATTAATAACACCTTTCCACTGGTAATGGATTTCGCCACAACAATGACACGCAACATTGTGTCCGTGGCGGAGCGTTACGATAATTGAATTAAAGGGGTACGTTTGGCGGGCTGAAAGAGCGGAACCGACGACCACCGGGCCCGATCGTGAAGAGAGCTGTCGTCGCAATGACGAAGTGTGAACTATCTCATGACACCGCCCGGCGACCGCGGAACGCATTAATCGGTAATGTCGTGCGGGGCGTGTGTGTCTTTCCTGATTGTCGTAGCGAGAAAATCAACCGTGGCTGAGAACACGTGTCTCCTGGCCGCAGCTTCCAGCCGCACGCGTCAACCCCCTCGCGTACAATTTCCGCGTTGTTCGCACGCGGCACCCCGTAGAATTAAAAATAGATTGAAGTCCGATTGACCAATTTGCATGATTACGGGTTTTGCGGGGAACTCGTTCGCGTTTTAGAAGGAAAACAGGCGTATGAGGAGAGACGTTCCTCTCCGTTCCTTTCTTTCTGAACCCGTCAAAGACGAATTCTCGAGCAAACCCGAGAAAAGATGTTAAGGAAAATGCGATTTTTATCGTAGTTTGTAAAATGAACGAGGGAGGTAAGGTGAAGAGAGAAACAGAAGACTGAATTCAAATCGGTTTAAAATGGATTAAAACATAGTTCAAATTCACTCGAAATAAGAAATAAATTTTTAATTTCCTCCCATTCTCCTTCTTTTCTTCTTCCACACATATTACGTTTTTACATAATGTAACGATAATTTGTGTAAGCACGTCACATTAATCTTAATATTTCTCTAAAATTTCTAGTACAAATTCTTCATAGGAAATTTCGTCAGCATGCGACCGATAAGTTTTCAATCACGTTGTACGAGTCGACCTTTTATAGCACAAAAGAGATTGTGACTATATATGTCAACGCGTGAAACAAGCTATTGCTGGCTTTACATTGGAGTATTCTGTAGTATTGGATACAACTGTGATTATTATTATAGTCCGACGGCGCAGATGCGACCCGTTTACCACCTGGTCCTCCAAAGAAATCCATACCACTTCGATGAACCCACCCTCGGTTTACTATCCTTTTTCCTGGACATTCTCGCTTCAACGTGTTTAAAGTATCGCATTCGAAAAACCATTCTCTCCTAAAAAGCAGTTTTCGTCGCTCATTAAATACATAATATGAGAATGAATATTAATATTCAATAAATTTATTTTGTTTAAAAAATAATCTGATATTTAATTGATATATCAGTAAGAAGCATTTCAGTCTTCAGTTACAGTAATTAATGTCTCGATCATCATAATTGAACGCACAGCGCGTTCGATTATATTTTTCTTTTAATGAAAATTTGGACAAATATTGAAGACTCTCTATTGACAAAATTAAAATATGTTTACCATGTCCATAATTTCGATAATATAATTATCAGTTAATGTTCTCCATTTGAAATATTCTTAATTAAAATTCGCGCGCGATTTATCATTTAGCAAATCTGATTTCATTATTATCGCAGCAAAGAATATGCTCAAAAGCATCGACTGTCTTTACTTGGCAAACAGTACGGAATGTTTGTAATTAAAGAAACTCGCAAAATGATAAAATCTCAAGTCCAAATTATACGGAAAGTTTTTCACGGCATGAAAATGCAGAGAGACAAGAGGATACGATGATAGAATAAAAATGGGAAGAGGATAAAAATAATCAATATTTAAGTGCACAACTTACTCTTTCGCGTATTCGAGTCAAGACGTAAAGACGCGACCACTTACATCCACCGTAATTTCCAACAGCATTTCCGAAACCGAAGCGTTCGCTCATCTTTTTCTTTTCAATTCTCGAAAATTCGTGTTTCAACGGCAGCACATCGAATGATCGATAAAACGGCCTGGCGAGCCGTAAAATACTGTCACATGAAAATTACTACGAAATGCAGCGGAATGGCGACGCGGCGTCAGGTGTCGGGGCGGATACGCCGCGGTGTTTCCCGACCGCCGATTGGAGAGTTCCAGGGATGCTGTGAGGGATGCTGGGTGAAACGGGACGACAAGGGAGGCTGCGACGCCGGGACCAAGGGCGTGGTTACGGGGAATGAAACTACCCCTGTCTCCCTCGCGACGCCGTGTAATCAAGCCCGCTCTTCCTGGTTCTTCCGCCGCTCCGGCGGGATTCTGCCGCCGTCGTCTCCGCCGACGATCTCGTCGAAGCCGGAGATCGAGATGTTGCCGGAACCGTCGTCGCGGATGAGGCTAATGATCGACGTGATCGGCGTAATCGCGATCCGATAGACGAGCGAGCGAACGGGCGATTTAGTGCGGTGAAATATTTCGCGAAAGCCGCGCGGATTTGTGCCGATATTGATAGGGGACGAACAAGCGAGCCGATTCCGGAGTGGTGGATTCTGTGCGCGATTGTTTAATCGGCGGATAAGTTTAATCACACAAAGGGGGGATGGGAAGAGTAATGTCGCTTCGGGCCAGATGAGAAGAAGCTCGGCGATCTGGGAAGACGTTTTCTATGGTGAGTGATAAACGAACGAATTAAAACACACGATAATTATTAAGTAATGATAGGTAACGAGTTCGCGTTCGAAAGATCCTACTTGAGAACGCGAAGAGTCTCGGAAAGGGTGAAAATTTCAGAAAAATATCGAAACGTCGGACAGTGATTTAAAGCAAATAAACAGATTAAAACAGACAATAATTATGAAGTGATAGATAATTAGTCCACGTTTGAAAGATACAGTTCGGAGAATGCAAAAAATCTCAGGAAAGGTCCCAGAAACAAAGCTAGGACGTGGAACTGTAATTTACAGTGATAAAGGAAGAAATAAAAACACCCGGTGATAATTAACAATCCGAGTCCACGTTCGAAAAGTGCAGTTTGAGGGCGCAAAGAATCTCAGAGAAGATTCCGGAAAAAAAAAAGGAACCGTGTGATTTGAAGCGAAGTGGGAAATCAGAAAGAATTTCAAGGGGAAGGATAAGTCTACCGCGTGTGAAATCTATAAAAATAAAAAATACAAAGGAGGTAGTATCGATTTGATTGGACGGTGCGGTTCCGCACGGTAAATATTACAGACGGCGGCCGCGAGAGGAGGCTTGTCACGCGAAAAATCCGGTGATCCTCCCTGAAATATTCAAGAAAGACACGGGGACGAGCGTCCATACAAATCGCCGGTTTACCATTGAGAATCAGATCGAACGGGACTCCGGGGTTGCTTTTCGTCAATACTTGATGAAGAACGCGCCGTTTACGCGGAGAGCGAACTGCGTTTCTCCGTCAAATATGCAACAAATTCTCCGCATAAATCGACGTCGATGCGATCCTTTCGGACGCGACGAAATCAGGGCGCATCCCCCGCAAACGAGCACGAGACGATCTCACGTCTTCCTTTTCTCCACGCGCCCGAGGCAAGCCCGAAGCGTTATTAGCGTTAAATTCGGCGGTCGCGAACAGCTCGTCCGTTTCCGTCTTTATCCTCTTTCGCGGCATTAATTCCGTTACGCGAGCTCCACTTGTGTGCTCGACAAATATTTGGCCGATCAATTATCGTCGAGGAAAGGGCCTATATGTGGAAACATAAGTCGAACCTTTTCGTGCCGTATTCCTCGTCACTCGACTCCCCAAGGCTGCCGCCGCAATAAATTAAATCATTATTTACCTCGCATGAGATAATGGAACAAATTCAAGCTCCGACGCGCAGTGGGAAGAAATCGCGGAATTACCACGTTAACCATCGATGATCATACTTTCATTAACAATTTTAATAAAAATAACTAATTAACAATTCAAATTATAAAACAAACTACAGCAAACAATTTTGCTAAAAATAACACAGGAATAACCGCATTTATGCGTTTCTGAACAAAGGAAATTTGAATGAGAAGAAAGTAAAGTTAACGATACATGCACGGGTGGACAATTAACACGTCGCTTGAAATTACTTGATCATTATTTGATCTGTGATTTCAGTCGCACGCCGGGATGGAATGTCACATTGCGCTTCGAGTAGCTGTGTCCCGCGAGCCGAATCCCCCGGCGCGATAAAAGTGAGAAGAGGATCTTTCGCGGCGCGCCGAAGCGAGTCTCCTCGTACGAGCAACATCCTCGAGTCGCGGTGCACATGAAGAGCTTCACCTGCGATTTCATGAGCGAGGACAGGGCGGTTTCGATGGCGAACGGCGGCCACGGCGTGGTCGTAAACGGGGTAGGCGCTCCCGTCTCGGGCACCTTGTCAAGGGAGGAGAGACGCAGGAGAAGAAGAGCTACTCAGAAGTATCGAACCGCACACGCTACGAGGTGAGGCTGCGATCAGCGCAGAATCCGAGAATTTTGCGTAAAAACGCGTGAATAACGAAGAGTCACAGAACGGAGAATGATAGTTTGCACTCGGCATCATTTTTTGCATCGGGACATTTCAAAGTCGATTGGATCTTCTGGAGTTATAGCGTTCCTTCAGTTTACTTAACTCACAATTCAATAAGGCGGGTGCAACGATGTGAAGCAAAACGTTGCATTATTAATTTACGAGAAACGAGACTTTTATTCACGAGATCGATGAACTTGCGTATATATCTCTAATTTCAATTAATTTACTCATCGGAATATTTTCTTGGAATTATTTCGCACTCATTTATTATTTTAGGATCTTTACATTTTACGCTTCTGTATTTATTATATATATATATGTATAGTAAATTATATACTTTACTAATTTCTTTTATTGTTAATATTTTTCGATTTATTTAATATTTCTTTGTATTTTTAAATAATTTTCACAAGATATCGATCTTTATATTTGTTCACCGCACCCTTCAACAGAGAGAGAGTCCGAGTGGAAGCCTTCAACTTGGCGTTCGCGGAGTTGCGGAAGTTGCTGCCAACATTGCCGCCGGACAAGAAGCTCTCGAAGATCGAGATACTCCGGCTGGCGATTTGCTACATCGCTTATCTGAATCACGTCCTGCAAGCTTGAACTTTCGTCGTCGTTCGACGGACGCAATTCGAACGACCGAGACCAAAGACGCGATATTGTCGTCGACTTGCATACCGCGCGAGCCTGTGACTATTTATCGCCATTCGCCCGTCGATATTTTCGAGCCTGTTCGATACCGAGGATTAGTGAGCCACCTCGGGACAATGGAACGAGCAACACTGTTGCCCCCCATGGGATTTCTGCCCCCTCGCGTTCTTCCAAATTCTCCTACCCTCGACAGTCGTCGTCGTCGTCGTCGACGGCATCGTTTGGCCACGTATGTCCGATCGGTGGCGATTACACGGCTTGAGCTAAGTGAAAAAGAATAGAATTGCCGAGAAAGCCAACTTCACGCATCATCGCCTCTTGGATCCGCTCGCTCGCGCTTCTCCATCCCCGTCTCCCGTTTCTCTCGGACAATTCCTCGATTCGAGATTCACGCGAGATTGATGGTCCCGTGAACGAAATTGGCTCTCTCTGCTTCCCCGTTTGAAAAATAAAATAAAGAAAGAAAATTAATGGCTGGATTAGAACGGAAGCCTTTCTGCGAAGTAGAACTGTCCGAACTCGAGGGTAGGTATTCGAATTTAACGTCTCTCCCAACTCGATTAATAATAATAAGAGTAAAATTGACCGTAAAAATTGTGTATTCTCTCTTATGACATTTGATAAACCAAAGGAATTGCTGTTTGCGTCGATCCCGCTTGATTTTGAATGAGTGAGGTGAAGTAAACGGACAATATTAAAGACGAAATTTACGGTGTTGTTGTCGCGTCGAGGCGTTTAATTTCGACGACGGTCAAAAGACTCTGCAGATAACGTTGTCTTACGAGCCTGTCTTTCGCATCGATTATACAAAAAGATTATAACGGGACTCAAGTGGACGAATGACAATAGCAACACGAGCGTCACGCGAAAGAGTTTATTATTACTTAATATTTCTCAGGTAGATTCAATAAGTGACTACAGTCGAACAAAGTTTATTTACCCATCAATGATTATTTTAATTTCTATTATTGATTAATTTAAAAATTGACTATGTAATTAACTTTAATATACTTATTTTTCTTTCCTGCTCGATTGATCATTCTCCTCTGTGATTGATATCCTTCCTGAATGCTGTCGACCGTGACGATTGAACTCTGCTTTATCCTCAAATAATAATTTGATCACATTATACGATATTACGCAAGGTAATATGATATTGAACAGATACGACGCTTAATTAGCGATGAATCACGCGCCAGTCGCGATGCGATGTATCGTATTCTCGATGAGGAATAAATTATAGAGAAGTAAATTCTCTCATTATTTTTTCCCTCGAGATACGTAGCGATCCTCTGACTTCTCTCTGGTTCGCCTGAAAGGAAAAAAAAAGGAGAGAGGGAACTAACTCTGACATTCCCTGACTAAATAACTTTCAAGGTGAAAAAAAATGTCCTACGTAGATATAATTACATTTATGGAAAAGTTGTGTAGCAGGCGCATATGGCGCATTTTAATAGCGTACATACGTTTTTCATCGAGGTGATAATTCTCCGGCCATTAAGGATTTACTTAGTTAAACGAGCGAAAGACCTTCGGTTATCTTGACGTGACGGTCGAACTTGATAGAACTGACGATCTCGAACGCGATTGCGATAGAATATAATTTACGTTTCTCACTCCAACCTTTATCGTCCGGCGCAATAAAAAGTTGCATTCGCGATAGCCACATACAATAGCGACCATCGTTAATTATCGCCCGACCGTCTTTGAGCCAGCCGGCTGCTACTTTCGCACCCGTGCCTCGTACATTCAGTCGCAGAAGGATTGTAACACACATTCCTTTTAATAAGCTTCGGCACGCATCCTGAGTGAGAATGGAAGAATTTACTTTTATTCATTCTTAGGAGATATATGTTCTTATTGGATACGAGATATAGCAAGACGCGTCGAAAGAAAAGAGTTGCAACCCTTTCTGTGAATGACCATTAAGGCGACCGGGCAAACGGAGTTTGTAGAACGAATTATCCTTTTTCTCTGCAGCCACTTGATCCCGCCGACAAGATATAGCCCTCCAATAACCGTTGCGGCTCGTTCGCAACGCGCGTTTGCACCCTGTAATAACCATTTATGAGTACTTGCGTGCTCTTTGGCATCGCAGCGAAAGATAAACTGTCGACGGACTCCGACAAGACAGACAAGACGTGAAAGTAGTGAAAATAGTGAGCTTCGTATCGCTGTCTGATTCAACGTCGTCGTAGCCTACTGTGCGGGACGGCCTCGTGAAATCCAATGTTTCGCACAATACTACGAATCACGTGTGTGTGTGTATGTATATGTGTGTGTTAATTTAATTTGAATATCCGGAGAGACGAGTACGTGGACCATTGTGTGTTTACATTGTGCCGATTTCATGATTTTATCAAAATTTTCCGAAACTTTCCCCCTTCTTTCGATGACGTTCATGAGTTATCCCACGGAGATAATTATCATTCGCGATTGAACTCAGCTGAGATCGGCCGATCATGTATGCCGGTGTTTCACCTCGAGTACTTCAATGCATCAGTCAGGGATTCAAAGTATTCTATAACTTCTCGTGCAAGAAAGAAAAGGAAACTCTCCGGAGATGAAACTATTCACGACTCCGAAATATTTATCGGACGCGGTGGCGCCGCTTGTGACGCTGAATTACCTGCTGGGACTTCGCATTTTCGAGTATCCTCGTGGGAAATTGCACACCGTGCCCAGTCTGATCTACCTCCTGCTCCTGCTCGGCATCTTCTGCGTGTCCATATATAAGCAACACACCTTGTACAAGACGATTCCGCTGCTGAAGCTGGGGCACGTTTTGCACGAGATCATTACCTACTTGAGTGCCTTCGTCACTGCGTACGAGATGGTTCTGGGTTATTTTTACACGAAGGTGAGCATATCAAATCGAGTCCTACAAAGTTTTTCTTCATACCTGTGTGAAAGTCAACGTATGAACGGTGTGCTGATATATTGTGTCTCGGAGAAGAAAGCTTCGCGCTTTCAATTTAGACTACTTATCATGCAAATTGTTGCCTTCGCAGACAATCAACGCCTGCTACCGAAAATTCGCCCAAATCGACGAGACGTTGCGACAACTTGGATCAGTATTCAACTACGGCGAAGTATACCTTTCGTCAATCGCAGCTGTAATCGTCTGGTTCTTGTACGTCCTTTCCTTAGTCATCCTGGGACAGATACACATGTTAGAGATGTCCACAGACTTGCAAACTGTAATCTGGATAACTGTGGGAGATATGTACGGAACAAGCGTCAGCTTAATCGTCATCATCGAATTCTTGATATTCGTGAGGTGAGTATGCCAAAGAAATCAATTTTACGTTCTACTCATTCACAATTTTTTATGTAATTACCTTGTGCTATTAATTGGTGAACTGTTATTTACACCGTATTTGCAAATAAAAGAGAAATGGGCACTGACATCAGGTTCTTCTATTGAAAGATAAAGAGCGAATTAATAATGTACAAAATATATACATCATATATAATACATAATAAATAAATAATATATAAGATGTAATAAATAAATAATACGTAACGTATGTGTGTGAATTAAAAGTATAAATATTAGTAAATTTGACATTGTAATTGCAGGTACCTGCAAACGAGAATCAATTTAGTTAATGAACTCCTGAGCGAAAACGTGGTAGTGTCGACAACGAAAGGAATGAACATAGGTCTCTTCGCTACGGAGGATTATTCTAAATTCATGAACGGCGAACAACGCCAGAACATTCTTTCCATAAAAGTATTGTCTCAATTGAATCGGCAACTGCAGCTCCGGAAACGAACTCTTCTATCAGGAAAACGTAACTTCTTTAAATCGTGGACTCGGTCTCGCCTGCCGTCTGAACTCTTAAAGCAGTTCAAAATGGAACTTCAGGGCCAATCCAGAAACCAAATTAACGATTCGATCCGAAAGTCCATCATGATCGCGGAATGTCGGAGACGCACATACTTGTTGCAAACGATCAGGTAAGTGCAAATTACGTGATAAAATATTATAGTAAAGGAAGAAAAAATTAAAAGGAGTATGAAAAATAAACAAGGAGAAAGTAACCAGTACATCCCGTAAAAGATTACAATTTTTGTTCCGTAATTTTTGCAGAACGAATCCGTCTCAACACCGCCAAGATTTTGTCGTCGTAATATTTAAGAACACGTTTTTTCACGGTTCACATGTTATTTTTTTTTATCACTTACACATTCCTCAGGCAGGTGCATCTGGAACTGTGCAGGATATTAAAGACGCTATGTACCAGCTTCGGCGTACAGATTACTTTGGTAATCGCGAACTCCATTGTTTTCATAACTACAATTTCGTATTATTTCTGTACCAAGAGGCAGATAACTATAAATGGCCACCTAGCAGATGAAATATACGGCATAATTATGAGAACAATCATTTACGTGCTAAAGATCATTCTCGTCAGTTTCGCGTGCAAACGCGCGATTGAAGAAGTAAGTCGCCCTGTACGCTATTTTTTTTAATTATGGACTTAGGCGATGATTGATTATTTGCTCAGGGAGAGAAGACCAGCGAGATCATCCACGAGATTTACGGATGCTGCCCGGAAAGCGATATACGAGAAGAGGTTTGTTTATGACAGTAATCGTCACCATTGATCGCAAGTTACGTCAGTGGTCGTCCTGATTGACAAATGCTTTCAGATTCAGCAGTTCGGTCTCCAGATAGAGCAGAGCCCGGTAATATTCTTCACGTTTGGCATCTTCTTAAATTACCAGCTTCTAGGCACGGTTCGTAGATTCGCGCTCGAAATACGCGATACTTGTTAGTAATCGAGTGAAAAATACGAGTGATAATTTGCGCTTTACGCTTTTACTGTCCGCAGTGCCTGAAAACTGTGACGACTTATCTGGTTATCATGATACAGATGAGCAACTCGCTGGAGTCGAGAAAAACGAGCTGAGGGACAGGAAGCCATTGAGGAGAATTGTAGATATTGATAAGTAACTGTATTTTGAGATTTTGCCGTGTATAAAAGTATTAACAATATACATCATATATGTACATCAATATATATATGTGTGTATATCAGACATGTGTGTATCCTTAACACACTTTGTAAAAATAGAGACCACCATGTAATAAAATGGCGATTTAGAGAAGCTAACGAAAAAGAATTTCCTTGCAACGATGTATCCAATCCACTTTTCCGAACAAATAAATGCAACTTCAGCGCCTTCAAGGTTAATCGTTGCGTTTACGAATGGAACTCAGCCCTTTGATTGTTTATTACGATATTAACTGCGACGAGAGCCGTCGGACTTGTGAACATTCGTGTATATTCGAAAAGTGCGTGTCACTTATTGCATGACATATCCTCTTCGTTCCATCTTGATCTTTACAATTCATTAGCTTTTATTGCTACAACGTTCGCGCCGTTATCAAGATTTTCAATGCGAGGTGTACGAACCCCTCGAATTCGAGAGCTCTACAACATGCTCAATAATTATAACATTGCCGTTGAATTTGCACGACAACCGAATGTACACGATGTTGTTCGGCGCATAAAGTGAACTTTTTTATGCAAGTTAATTTGCAGGAATAATTTCGTTTTTAAAATACCATGAATGGCCAAGGGAAACAAGAAATTAAACCGAATTCTTTCACTGACTCAGGTGTGTGCGCTAGAATATTCTATTTTATAACTACCGGAATAATATCATAATGTGTCTCTAAGTCTCTCGATGTCGTTAACGAGCGATAACTTAGTGCTTTACACAATATTGACCTTCCTGATGAGGTCTCCTGGGCATTCCAGGCACACATTCTTATTTCCATGTACGGAAATTAGCGGTACACGTGCCTATTTTAGTTCCATGTGCGCTTTGCAAGACCATCGGCATCCAACGTACCTATCGCATTCTTCATATCGCGCATACTGCGCATACAGCATATCATTACTTATCTCTCGCAATTTAATGTCAATTTCATATAATTTAATTTTATCGTAATTTCTATCGTAATTTTTATCGCCATGTCATATTCGACATATTTTCAACTTGCTTCAGCGAATCGCACGAACGGTCGTGTAATTCCCACGAGAACAATTCCACGTCGTTCCACTGATGCTACAATACTCCTGCGAAATACAAAGAGTTGAGGTTTTTTAACTCTTAAGGATTAAAAAACACCTTTTGATTTTATTTAATCCTAGAACACTAACCCTTTACTCTGGATCTGGGCTTCTAATCTTACATTTTGGAGAGGTATCTAATGATTGAAAAAAGCAAATTTAGAAGACTTCTTAATGCGGCACACACACATATATATACATATAGAGTATATATATACATATAGGGTGGGCCATTTAAAGTGTTACAAGCCGTTATCTCTGAAAGTGCACATTACAGAATAATTTTTCTTTTTTTTTATAAAACTAGTTTGATTCAAAGGGGGAAAAGAGTAATAAGTTTGACTTTGAATGAGCGTGAGAATGAAAGTCATTATGGCTTTGCTAGTCCATTCAAGGTAAAATTAATATCTCTATCTTCTCCTCCTTCGAACAAAACAACTTTCATAGAATAATTCTAGAATATTTTTGCTATGACACATACACACTTTCAGAGAAAACATTTTAAATGGCACACCCTGTATATTTGTTTCCCTTTTTCAAAAATGCCCACGTGGATGGAATTTGGTGGCGTGAGAAACTAAGGAGAGAGGTTCGTAAAAAGATATCTAAATAAAAACGTCGAATATAAGGACGTTTCGAGAACGTACGTTAATATTCTAAGATTATTTCGCGTATCTTCCGCGAGGATACCTGGACGACTCCGGGGAGTTCCGGATGTCCCGTGGAAAAGCCTCCACACGTGCGTAGAACTGTGCGAGAACGGAAGACACGCGAGGTGTGTGTGCTATTTCGCGCGGCCGGCCAATATCGATCACGAATCCTTTGGGACGCATAGGCGCATCACGAGGCATCGCTGGTGTCGTCTACTTTGGTCGCGCACGATCGCCGCCGCCGCCACCACCTGTTCGTACATTCTCCGGCCATCCACTTATCGGGGGTGGCACTTAGCAGCATTACACAGCACCATTATCCCTGACGGTGGCGCACGTGGCACACGCGAAGTCACACAGTGACCGCCGCGATACTCATCGTTCATTTCTTAGCTGTCAAGTGACCGCGACGCGCCGCGCGAGCGTGCCGTGTGCGTTTACGTGTGGCCCTGTGTTTATGTGTGTGAGTGTACGTCCGAAAGCGCACAAGTCCACGAGGAGTGTCGTTCGAGCGTGGTCGACGAGACGAAGGGTGAACAACGTAGTCAACGACGAAGATGCCGATCCAGCCGAAAACACTGTACGACGCGATCAGACCGTTGATCGTGGTCAACTTTATCGTCGGGATCGGCATGCTGCCAGGCCACACGATCCTGCGGAAAGCCTTCAGCTTCAGCTACTCGATACTCTGCCTGATCGTCTTCGGTATCCTCACGAAGCTGTCGATAACGTACTTGAGCGAGTACCATGTCCAAGATTTGTCCGACACCAGCAGCAAGACGTTCCAAGCGGTCTTCTACGCCAACATCGCCATGACGCTGTGCCTCATTCTCACCGCAATGTGGAGAATAAGGGTAAGAGCTTTATGTGGCTAAGGGGAACAGCTTTCAGCGTTCTCGGGAAAAATTGCAATTGTAGAGGAAAATTGTCCGTTGTGGAAGAATTGCAGAAAATTCTAACACGAGTCTGACACATCGCAGGAATCGATCCCTTGCAATTTTATCGAATCCTTTAGCTTCAACTTTATTAAGAGCCTTGTTAATTCCCGCAACTTTGTTGAATTAAAAGATAGTGTGGAAAGTGATTCGCTGGCTCATCTACGTCGTATTTTGAAGTTTTCTATTCTCGGACCAATCGATAGAGACTCATCACACATAAGGTCTCGCGCGATCGCGACTACAAACCTTAATGACGGATCCTCTAATGGGTTTGAAGTTTATTTTGCCTCAACGAAAGCGTGTGGACGCCGACAGTCCCCGAGTAATCGACAAAGAAGGGAAACAATGCAATCCTAAGAATTAAAAATTTACAATAAACGATGATATATCTCTTTCTTTTTGCCACGGAATTTTCTGCGAAATAAAGCGACTTCGAATTCTCCGGACAATGGATTCAAACTTGCGACTGAATTCTTTCCCCCGAATCTCCTCGTTGTCGCTTCTTGGAATCACCGAGACGCGAATTGCGCCTGAGACCTCAGGACGACGTTCTTGCTCGCATTACATTACTTGCACAAGATGGCACCTTCTCTTTCGCAGATCATGCAGACTGCGTACGTGCGCATCACGATGTGCGAGAAAGCCTTCGAGCAGATGGAACTGAGCAAGAAGTACCGTAACATGTATCTGTATCAAGTCTACGCGTTCTCACTCGTCGTGGTGATATTCGTCATATTCGTCGTTCTCAATTACGACATGATGATCCAACGTGACAAGATGCCCTTTCACGTTCAATTCATCGTCATGTTCATCGCACACTATCCCATTGCTCTACTCTACGTGGCTGACATATCGTTCCTACACTGGGTCAGGTGGGCATTACCGCAATATCGCGCGAATATAAACGACGTCAGGTCCGTTTATTATAATTAGCGACGTAAGAACTGACGAACATTTTTGATCCGCGCCCCAGGCCAGTTTTCAATTACCAAGTCTCCAATTACCAGTTTTGCCACGACTCGCTTCAATTATTTAATTCGCGTTTATTCCACGTACTTGGGCGTTTATCGCAAAGCTACCGTTGCGATCGGTAATTTCAACGATGGCATAATTATTTTAACATTTCGATATTTTAATATTTCGGTTGTATTATAGAAAGACTCGAAAGAGTGGAAAATTCGATAAACAATTTCACGCAACTTGTCCATCGAATGAAATTCATCACAGTGCCATTTTCCTCTTTGTCTCGTTCCTTTCGTCGCTTCGTCGCAGATACTCGAAGATTCGATTCAAGCAATTGAACGGTCTATTGCAACGCATGCTGACGACCACACCCGACTCGCCGCAGCACAAGAGGGTGCTGAAGATGAAGGACGAGTGGAACAAGTCCTTCGTCTCATCCGCGCAACAGAAGGAGAACAGGACTAAGGAAAACGTCGACACGATGAGGGCCGTCAAGTGAGATCCTTCGCTCCATTGCTGCACTCCGCGAATAAAGGCTTAAGCACGCGTAAGCAAATTCACACGCACATGTACACATCGCATGCGCGTTTCCATTTTGATATGTCGCACGTCTTTTCCCGAGCAATCTGCTAATTAGTACTTCGCTTATTATACTGTTTGATAAGGCACGATGGCGCAATAACGCTTGACTTGAAATTAAGCTTCACACAGCCCGGCTATGTGATGATTATTTCTGGTGCGAAGCGTAGGATATTTCGTCGAAACTCACTTAAGCGATGAGTTTGAAGACACGCAAATTAAATACTAAATTAAACGTTGGCCGCTCGTCTCTGTAAATAATCTGTAATTAATCTGAAGCAAGTTCCGCGACACACTGCTCGAAATAGTTAAACAGAAACCCGGTTATCTGTTTAATCCGGAAATGTGCCGTTTTACACATTGAGATAATTCGTAGAATGTGCCGGATTTTCAAGTGATATTAAATGACGAACATTAAGTGCCTATATAAGTTTATTTTCTGAAAAAAGTACGTCCTTTTAACTTTATTTAACCATCTATGCAATAAATGTTAATTTTGAATGATATTAAGACATGTATACGAAGTTTGCTCATGTTGATCTGAAACATCCTGTATATATGTACACAATATTACAAACAAAAATATTGTATCGTATATTTCTTACTCTTTTTTATTAATGCTTTATTTATATATCAGCTCACAGTACACATATAATAAAAAGTGATGTAAAAATATTTAAATATATGTATATATGTATATTATATATCGCAGATACTAATAAATTGTCAATTTCCTACGGCTATATTCAAAACAAAATGGTCAATAATTTCGAAATTTTGCATAATGTCCTAATGAAAATAATTTCGTTGATGTTGATCAACGATGTTTGTCTTTTTCACGCCGAACGAAGACAAGTCCATCTCGAATTGATCAAATGCATCAGAACGGCGAACGAGGCGTACGGCGTGCAAATCCTCCTCTCTATGACAGTGTCGTTTGTGTTCATCACTGCTCTCCTTTACAACGGCTACAAGATTTACTGGGTCCAGATAACGAAATATGAAATGCGACGGGAGATGGCATCGATCGCATGTTGGACTTTGTTTTACGCGTCCAAGGTCTTCATTATAAATCATATGTGCGCGTTAGCAAGCCTCGAGGTGAGCATCGATCGAAGATTTCAAGAGTTCGTTGCGATAGTCAAGAACTCGATGATATTTTATATCTGGAGATTCCGAAACATTTCTTTTTATTTATCCATCTCTACGGGAAACCATCCTTTTGGTGTATCAAACATAATTATACATATCGTTCAAGAGAAAGGAAAATGATATATTTTGTATAAAAGCAACTTTTAAAATTGATTAAAAAATTGATCAATTTCGTTAAATTAAATAAATCAGTTAATTTAATAAATTTTAATTTTTTCACTTTGACTTCTTAAATGTACTTTAATGAAATTCGTGGTCGATTTTTTCTTATAATATACGCGCGTTTCACGTATATGTAACAGTAACATTCATGAGAGGCTTAAAACACGGTCGTTAAACTTTTACAGGCGGCGAACACGGGTGACATAATCTGCGAACTATACGAACCGTCCACCACTAAGGAGTTTCGGGCAGAGGCAAGTCTATTGTTGCCGTACATTTTTTCTTTCGCGAAATACAACGCGCTATTGTAGAAATAATCGATGTCGATTTCTTTTTTCCAGATACGGGATTTCACACTGCAACTGATACAGAACCCTTTGATCTTCACAGCGTGTGGATTTTTTACTCTCGATCATACGTTTATTCACGGGGTAAGTCGTGATTCATGTATAAGTTCAAGATAGCGAGAAGTTTAAAGTAGAAAATACTTTCGCGAGTGTAAAGCACGCACGTTAGCTTTTGAGATTCTTGGTTCTGCGTTCTTGCGAGATCGCGTGAAAGGTCGACACATGTCGGCAGATATCTATATACTTCAATTTTCTTCCCTTGACATGGCTATTTTTTTAATAAGCTACTTTCAGTTTTTTATCTGCTTCGCCCAGTAAATAATTAAGTGTTACTCATACATACTTTAATTCCACATTTCTTTATCCTATAATATGTCCGCGACCGTAATTAAGCGATAAGGCTCGCACGATACGCATATATATATATATATATATATGCATATAAAAACATGATAACGTTATAACGTTTCAAGACAGATTAATGTATGAAAAAGAGAAAGAGAGAGATAGAACTCGTTAAAGAATTCGCGTTTAGATTAAAACGACAGTCTACGAACGTCTATGAACGAAGGTATTGTACAACGAAAGAACGGATTGTTAAATATTCAATTTTTTCCAGGTGATTGGCTCGATAACCACGTATCTCGTAATTCTTATCCAAGTCGGAGACATTGCGTCGGAAACTCCCGAAAACGATACAATGTCGTACAACGCAACAAATTTCACTAGCGCAAACGACATTCTATAAGCGCAAAACTCACATATATCATTAGTTCTTTAATACACAGTTTAGACATTTATAGTTAGAAATTATCAACGATCTTTGACATTGAGGGCATAATTAATTATTATATATCAGATTTGTATTCATGGACCGTCATGCGACTGTTTGGATTAATATTTCTCTTTTTGTATGAAATAAGTACGGATCAGACTAATAGATTTGTGAAATTGAGGTTATTCTTTAAATAGCGACGGATCACGTATACCTGTTTCTCAGAACAAAGATCGAAGATTCGCATAATCGTTTTTCGTAAATAAATGGATATAAATAATGCGTCTGCACGACAAGATCAAAAAAATGCACGAGAAATCTGCAGAGGTGTTTGCTCTTACGTCGAATATTGGATTTTTCATGCACACTGAAGAACGATGTGTATCTAAGCAAGTCAAAATGATATTTAATAAAACACTGTTATATTTTTTCTACAAACGATCTTGGATGCTCGTGATTATTACTGATTTATTATTATTTATTGAATCATTACTGATTGCTACTGAAATTATCAGTCATTATTATTAGCATTTAATAAGACATACTATCGTTCAATAAAGTCGTACATCTGATCGCGACGCCACGGATTGCAAATTGTATTTCGTGATAAAAAAAACGCACCTTTGCGAAGTCGAATAGATTTCACGCATCTTCTTCTCCTCGAATCTGTACATTCATTCTCGCGATTGTCGTCGCGATAAAAATGATACACCGAGAAGGTATCGAGGTTTAATTGGCCGATCGGTTAACGAGGATCCGATGAACGGATGCGTTCTCCCCGACAATTTTCCGCCAATTAGTACGTCAGCGGGGATATTGCGTCAATTACACCACCCTAAGCGCACTTACCCTGCCCGACTGCTGTCCAGATGGAGGCGTTAGCCCGTGAAATTCGCTCCTACCAATAATTCAATAGCTTCTAACTCGGACGAGACGGCCACTCGCATTCAATCAGCCCTGAAGGCGGTCATTTCATCGTTGCTGGAATTTCGCAACATGTTGCAGCAACATTTCACGACACAGCCGCATTGTTGCGACACTGCTAATACATTTCCATAATGTTCCCTTGTAATCCCCTTTCTGTATTGTGCCGGGAGGACTCATCGTCGATGCGGTATCTCATCCTGACGAGGCCCGCTCGATATATTCGGGCGTATACGTACTTCAAGAACAAGAGGGGACGTGCGAGCCGCGCGTTTACATCGTGGATAACATTAATTGGGAATTAAGGGCGGCGAACGCCGGTCAGGAGCCACCTGCTACTTCGGTACTCTCTCGTCGAGCTAAGGGGATTGATTTATTGCACCCCGGGGGGAAGAAAAAGGGTCTAAATGCCGACCGGTTTGGACGGATTCAAGCGATGGGCCCTTGTTGTGTCCTCCTGTTAAATAAAATTCTTAAGAGGCGCCGCGTTATCAACGACATTGTTCCCCACAATCGTGCACGTTTCGATTGAATCCCAGTTTAAAATTACTCAGGATCGCGCTTCGTCGTAAAATACAAAATACAGACACCTCCGAATATCAACATTGATTTGCAAAATAAACATGACAAAAAATATAATTAAAACTTGCTAATTTTAAGCACAAAGACGTATTTTCTTCAAAAATCGCCAATATAAAGGGAATATTCGTTATATATAATTATATAAAATAATATAACTTTAACGATAAATAATTTTCCTTCAAACGATACGATATGTGCGATTTCCATACGTATAAAAATTCTGGAGAAATGCATAAAGTACCACATGTTGTAAGATCAATTTCCAAAGAGAAGGACGGTTACATAAAGTTTAATAAAAATTATTCGTGTTATAATTGTGCCCTCTCTTGAACGGGTCGGAAGAAAGACGCGTAACGAACGCGGTAAGTGAAATCGCGGAGCGCTAACTCAACTCAGGAGAGGGTGTCGCTCCCGGGAGAAACATACGGGCCGGATTAGAGATGTAAATTGTAGAAAAGCAAACACAAACGGGAGTCCGTGATCCTAATAATCCAGAAACGTCGTTTATCATCCGAGAGCAGATCCGCCCTTACGCCAGACCACTCCTACTCGGGGGCTCGCGCAGTCGCTCGACTACTTTTTTTCCTTCCTTAAGCGTTTAATACGGCTGCATATCCCCGTCAAAAGCCGGTTTTTCTTTTACGTATGCAATCAATAACATGCAATACATATATATGAAATTATAAGACTACGTTAATTTGTTTTTAAAAATGTTTAAGATGGTTTTTCTTAGGATTTATTCGGTGCGTTTTTACTTTAACTTGCGTTCAATCGAGACATCATCAAGTTGTTACTGTTGATATTTGATTTATGTTTGTCGCTTTTTATTTTATTGAATTATTTTCTAAAACAATTCAAATAAAAACGAAAAAAAAAATATTAGGTTTTATTTCACGGTCTGCTCTTTTTCTTTTTCTCTGTTTTTCTTTTTCCGAGTAATTGCAGTTGCGGCTTTCTTCATTTAAGTCCCGCATCTTTATTTAAGTATCCGCGTCTCTCACTTTTATTGGTCAAATTTAACATTTCCGTTATTTACTTGTGATAATAAAATATTAATAATAATAAAATAGTAATAATATGCATATATAAATGTAAATATATTCATAACAATGTGTAAAATAAAAAGAAAGAAATTACGCGTATATATAAATATAAATAAAATATAAATCTACACGTAGAATCGTTGTTTATCCACAGAAATTATTGGTATATCATGGACATACCCAAATGACGATTTTACCAGCAGTGGCTCAAAACGGGTTCAGTTAAACAGCATCCACCCTCGAAATTAGCGCAGGGGGTACATCGGGCAGTATTATGTTACGGTAACTTGGAAAAGGCCGATGTGACCATCCCATCAAGCTTCTCCCTAACATTCTTCAGAGGGCGTTAACAAAATACAATAATAGATGTAAAAATGTAACTATTACTAAATCTAATCTTCCTCATCACATTTTTATATTACACGCTTTATATTTCTCGTCAGATTTGGACGAAAATCTAAATATATCGAACTTCCCATCTTTCTTTGTGTAAACTATTTTTTTAATCAGTGACATCGATCACACGCGTACACAGGGTGTCTATATATTCTACCTTCATTTATTTAGATTTATTATTTATCCCTTTCAAAGTTCATTTGCGGTAACAATTGCGGTCTGAAACATGTTTCGATATCCCAGCGACTTTCCGAAATATCCAACTGTTTCCATTAAAACATGCTTGCTCCGTACACATACATGTATATATTGAACGGTTGAAAGGTCAGTCTATCAGACAAAATGCGGTTCTGGCTGTGCTCCAAAAAAGTGAAATTATGTTTAGCCGAGACAGCGCGGCCAGTATCCCTTTCGTCGGCGTGACGACTCTCACTTCCTCCTCCGATCAGTAACGGATTGTTCGCACGGACATTGTTTACCGGAGATTGCATAAGAAGCGGGGGAAAACAGAGAAGGTACAACCTTTAAAAGCGGAAATTCATATATCCGCATCGCACATGTGCATGTATACGTACTCCGTCGCAAATCCGCTCAAGCGTCACATTGTTGATCTTGCCTGCTTATCGATCTGCCCAAGTATTTATTAGAACCCTCGCCTATTGATTGCTCTGAAAAAATAAGGTCAGATCGTTTAAAGGGTGCCGGAGAGCGGTTTCCTAGATCTGCCGCGGCGCTTTCATAAATAATATTAAAGCAGACCTGTCTCTTTAAAGAATCATTGTTTATCGCCATTAATAAGCGGCATCGCGCGGGCGAAATCGGTCGCGGGCGCGTTCTTTGGGTGATCGAAGATTTCCCCTGTAAAATGCAGAGAGAGAGAGAGAGAGAGACAACCGAGAGATTTGTCGCACGGTCTTTCAGAATCGGGAATTTCATTTAGCGCTCTTGGACCGTCCCTCGCCTTTTTCTGTTTCTATCTCTATTCGCGACATTATGACGCCAACTAAAGACGTGACACGTGGAATTAAACAGAGCGTTCTCCGAGAAGGACATGCTACATTACGCTGTTCCGTACACATTTTACTTTCTAAACGAAACATTACGGTACGCGCGTATTTAGTTGATTGATTGTGTTTTAAAATAAATCAATGTTATATGCACATTTTGATTAAAAATTGGGAGCAAACTTTTGCAACCAACTCAATATAATAGGCACGTGACGCTGAACCAAAGTTGACAATAAGAGATTCTGGTCAGGGATTTGGATGTTTCACCTTAATGTACGATGAAAAGGGACTGTAATACTATCTTTAAACGTTATCTTCGAAACTCTTATGAAAAAGCGTAGTTTATATGTAAAAAATCTACTGAAAATGCCTCACACACCTATTAAGATTGAGCCCCGATATTCACTTCCACACGGAATAAAAAGATTAGCTTCAGTGGCTAAATTAGTTGTATATAAGGTCACTTGAAACTTCAGCAGCAAGCTGTTTTGTTGCTGCAGCAATTAAAATTGCTTGCGTCGCTAAAGATTTAGGTGTTCATGTATACAATTTAATTTAGCTGCTGCAGTTAATCATCTTTCTTCCGCAGTACTGAAAATCTATACTTTATGTTATATATATTCTCAGTAATTTTCAGTAATTCAGTGATTCAGTGACGGCGAATATCGGAACGCAGCATAAATCGCGCACATTCTCAGACATATTTAATTTAATTGCGCTCATTCTTCTCGCACGTCCAGTCGCCCGCGTCCTTTTTCTAATTGCCCGGGTGCCGCCAAGTCGGGAAAGCACATTTGTCCCGGGTAAGCGAAGATCGTCCCGAGATGTTCCCGTTTCGATGAAAGAAATTCCTCTGCGAGGATATCCGCCATTATATTCGGATAATAGAAAGTTTGAACAGCGCGGAATAGTTCGGATAATGGGCCTCCACCTCGATTTATTCAACGACAGAGCAGACTCCTCTATCGAGCAAATTACACATTCGTAATTCGGCGAGATAAATTCGCCTTGGAAACGCTTTTAATCTGATCTGAGTTGCGCGACCAGCGGTAATTAATAATAACAATTAGCTGACATATCCGTCGTCCGATGCATCTGGTTATATTTTTCGCGGAGGACAGCCCTCCCTCCCTCCCTCTCTCACGCCTACTGTCCAGATACTTCGAGATACATGCGCACTTGTTCACGTCTACCATCTCGTCTCAAATTATAATCAATAGATAGCCGTCGAGACGGCGCCAAAACGCGCCTTTGTTCCGCCTATGGTTGCAGCATCGAATCGAAATGAAACAGTGCCCGCGGATGATCAGTTTCCCGTTAAATCCCCGTCATCTTGCGATTCCCACATTCACACAATTCGCACTCGAATAACGTTCAATATACAGACTATTTCACGTATAATAATTAAAAGCGTTACGGGCCAATATTTCTAAAACTTCACGAGATACGTCATTGTTTTCCCGCGATCGTTTGAGCGTCGAAAGTAGCATCATATAATAAGGGCAATTTTTCTTCCAAATGAAATCATTAAGGTCATCAACAAACATCAATTGCACTTGAATCGATAGACTGCAAGAGGCGGAATAACGCTGCGAGCAGCGCGCCTCTGGCGTGATGCGCCTGATGCTGGGCCGCACGCCTATACCCGCTATTGCCAGAAGAATGTACCTGAGTCGGAATTTTAGTCCTAGTTTAAGTCGAACTCAGTTCTAGTAGTTAAGTGTTCAAAAGATCTTCTATCGTGCTCCTTTGATGCTATAAATGGGAAAGTTATCGACGTTTCGTCCGCTTGAAGACTTAACGTGGAATCAAAATTTAAGCTCTGGAGGACTAAATTCCCTGTGTTAAAGGGAATTCAATGGAAGACCTCAATAGAAAACCTTTTGAAGACTTAATGTAGAACTGAATAGGATTGATGTAGAACTGAAATTTCAACTCGGGCAAACGAACCCGAGACATGTTCCTTAAGACGTCCACAGAACTCGTCCCACTGCATCTCACTCATTCATTCGCCGATCTTCTTTAATTAATCTCTTAACAACTATCGCGAATATTGCGAATATTGCGAAATGGTAGAGAACTTATGTCCCGATTTTGAACATTGCGCTGTCTGGGATATAACGCATGTATTATATAACAGTTATATAACACTTATATAACAGATGTTCACCGGGAAAGCAATAGTGAGGCACAAATATTCAAAATGATGCACAGATATTCGAAAACAATGCGCCTAATTGGAAATCTCTAATATTACTATGCCTAGAAAATAAGACAGCATTGATGAAATCTTTTACACATAAATTCGTAATCAAAGAAATATGATACTTTTAAGAAATAGGCGTTTGCTGGCCTTGTTACGCTACTGTCTTCCGAAGATCGTCCGAGAGTTTCGAAAGCGTTTTCTTCCAGACTTGCGAGTAAAGCAACACATGGACAGCCGGGAGAGGGGGGAGTGTTTATTTAGAGGTAAGAAAGGCCGCGCGGCTTTGTGCGAACAACGGACGATCGAGAGAAAGACAAAGACGGCGATCGATAGACGGTCCTTATCCAACCTCCTTGTAACTACGTCGAACGACGCACTGGTGTTCACACACGTGTAACATACGCGCCCACCTGCACACAGGTATGGTGTTTTCCGTTTCGACGTTGGTGGACCTGAATGCGGAGTTCCTCGCTCCTGCCGCACGAGGTCTCCAAGGTCAATTTGGGACTCGTTTATCATCCCTTTACCGACCTTACCCTTATCTCCTGACCCTTCCTAAATACAGGATCACTAAAAAAACTTTCGATCACACGCATCGTGTCTGAGTGTTCGCACATCATGACCGTTGATTATTCGAAGAAGCGGCAATGATGCCTCAAAACAGCCGATCCGTCACTCAGACGGCTTGACATTTAACGGAAAACAGGTGTTAAGAAGACTAGAAACCGGCATATGAACAAAATTACTTAAGCTTCCAAGAATTGTTACAGAAGAAGTGTGTCAGTAAGCTTAAGAGTGGAATAGTAGGTCAGCGTAAAATTAATGTGATTGATTAATTCAAACTTAAACACTAATTAATTATGTCGCATCGAAATGTATTCTATTCAATTGTACTGTACTGGTGTTACACGACAGCAAACAATTGATTTCCACTTCCTCTCCTCCCGCCACTTCTTTCTTATTATCTCTTGGGAATTATTGGAAAACCTGTCGGCGGGTGTCGATAGTATTTAAGTAGTGAATTCATTGTGGAAAAATCATGCTTGAGTTAACAAGCGTGACCGATCCCATCTCGAAGTTTCGCCCAACAGTTGTATAACGCTCACATGCAATCTCTCATTATACGCGTCTGGATGTTATCGCGACCATGTGTTTGCTATATATATACACTAGCAACATTAGCATAACGAGCCTGGCCGTGACGTAGTTCTTTTGGTCTATCGAGGACATTATTCGCATTTTCCCCGGGAAAACTTCCTGGATACATGGAAAATCTTTGTGTATGTGTGTGTGTGTGTGTGTGTGTGTATGTAAATATATGATCTTTAATATCTCTCAAGAGTGAATTCACCGGCCGGACAGCACGATATCTAAAATCAGGATATAAGACGTCTCTAAGAGATCTTTAAGACGTCTTAAAGACGTCTTATGTTCCGACTTTTGACATCGCATTGTCCGGGCGATTTCCGAATCTTCGTGTATCCTTCAATCAGGGCCCGACGCCGGTGAACTTGGAGTCGCTCCAAATACCAAAATCCGTAGAAAAGACTCCTCTCTGAAGAAACAGCACCCTCACGAGAGACTCCACCGGCTATAAATACACGCACCGTATCCCTTCTCGCGCGATCGGTAAACCATCCTCGTGAGCGTGCTGAAATAATCCCATCCCGTTCCATACCCGGGGAATCCCGCTTCCCGACTGTCGCAATTTCGCCGCAGCGGCTCCCTCGGCAGCGGCCGCCGTAAAATTGGGCGATTATACGGCGCTTCTTCCGGGATTCTTCAGTCTCGCTCTCCCTTTCGAGGGTGGAAAAAGCGCGCTGCCGACTCGAGGGCGGTGCCGCCGAGGGGGTTAGAGTTGGCATACACAAGTAGGTAAACGAGCGCGCAGGACGCCGACGCGGCGGAACCCCCACCGACGGCGTCAGCGCCGAGCGTCGGCCACCCCGTCAGTTGGGGCACCGCCATACCGTCGAACGCTGCTGGCAGCTGTGATCGCGCGCGCGCGCGCGCGACACCTTCCCCGACGAGACACACACATACACATACAGAAAGAAAGAGAGAGAGAGAGAGAGAATGAATCCGCGGCTATGTGTCGTGGCGACGCGCTATGAAGCGTTGTCGCGGAGCCGTGCTCGTCCAGGACACACCGTCGCCCGATAGCTGCCACCCTCGACCACGCTGTCTCTCATCCGCTCTCATCCCGCAGGCTTCGTCCGTCCACCCGCACCGTTCAACCGGGAGAATCCTCTGCCCTGTCCGCCAGCCACCAGTGTTCGTCGTGCGCCGAAGGTGTCTCCCCAACTGACGGTAAAGCGCGATAATCGTATGATGGTGCGCTAGGGCGCTTGCATGATGACCGCGCGACACGCGTATTAACCTTCGCGCACACCTGTAATGAGCTCGCGCGGTATCGCCACAGCTGATCGCGCGTCCCCGACGTTTCGTCAATCCGTCACGAGACACGCGTTTTACGTCTTACGCTGCGGTGGCTACTTGTCGCGTTTATTTCCTTGAAATGCTTCTTTGGCACGTATAAAAGTATCTCGCAACCCTTCTTCATCTTTACGTCACGGGGACGTGTGCTTGTTTCGAAAAACGCGTCCGTGATAATCGATAGAAGGGAGCTTTCGAGGAGCGAAACCGCGGGACTGTTCGCTTTTGAAATTCGATTCCGACTCGAACGAAGCGAAAATCACGCAGACGTTTGATGATTTTAATGAGACGATTTTTTTTTCTCCATCCGCTGCAACGGTCAGGCGATCATCTGTGAGGATGCCTTCCGCGTTTTTATCATGTCGGTCTAACGTGCCGTGTGAACCGAGAATTTTTCGCGCGGAGGCACGGCGCTGGAGGCGCCCCGTGGTAGCCACTGGCTACTGGAATGCACTTTGCGCGTCGTTATATAGGGGTGGCTTTTTATAGAATGCCGCGCGCGTAATCGGCGCACAGGCATTAGGTGACAGCGGGATTAAGTTCGCACCGTCGCGTACGCGCCCACGCCGCGATCCTCGGATCCCTGGAAACGCGTGCACGTGCCTAAAACTACCGGCCGTTTCAGCTCGTTCGTCTCGGGGGCCTACGGTGTTTTCTCGCGCGGCCGCAAGAATTCGAATAAAAATATGCGAGAGACGTCGTAAACAAGGAAACAACGTCTCCGTTATTCGGTGGGAACAAATCATCCCCGTCGAGGTCCTCTGAAAAGGGGAAAAAAAAAGGAGAGAGAAAGTTAAGACGGCGCATGAAGACGCGAAGCGAAACACCTCGGGGGCCACAGCTCTTCTGACTTCGCTAAAAAATAGATGAAATATTCCGGGCCGGAAGCGCCGATAAATTCCGCCGATAAAAGTCGCGTTTGGCGTGCAAAAGGAGACATAAAGGCGCGGTGACACAAATCGCTTCCGAGCGGACGATTAGCATGTCAATACGCGCGGGGAAAAAGAATTTTGCTACCGCGGCGAAAGCGTCGTTGCCTAACATGGACGCTCGCATGGATGACAAGGAAATTCCATCAGCGTGACGAATTATGCGGCGTTACTTTTTATTTGGGAACAAAGCAGAACGGAGTTTCGCTATGAGCGAATTTGGTCCTCGATATGCGATAATCTCTTCGGCGAAAGAAAAATAATCTCTATTCCTGGCGATACACTCGCCACATTGTAGCGAAACCACTGCTGCTGACATCTATTTGTAATTAATAACGCTGTGTATAAATACTGTACAGGCGAGACTATAAATAGTGATCAGCTCAGGTTGGGATGGGATTGGGTTAGGTTCGGTTCGTTAAAGTTGGGTTTTCTTCGGGGCGGGGATGCAGAGGGGAGTTAAGCCTCTCCGCCACCCGCACGTATTCCTATTCTTGCACGCACGTGACCGACTGATATAATACTTCAATAACACAAATATAACACCCAAGTTTCTCGCATGGCGATAATGAAACAACCCTCCCGCAGAATTCCCATGTGAGACGTTTAAGGGGAACAATTGTTCGAATAAGCATAATTTGTCAAGTACTTTTTGATAAACACTGAACACGACCGCCAGAAGTAAGTTTCGGAAGAAACTTACTCATTAGTAAACTTACCCTTGTTATTCGCCGGATTCATTGAAACCCAGCACACTTGTAGAGCAGTCGAAGATAATAGACGTGTATTTTTTTTTATATCGGCAATGGTGCAATTTTAAAGGTAAAAGGTACCTCTTGTATTTATAAGCACGAGCAATTAACTCGTTGCGTTTAAGCTCACGTCATCGGAGCTATTTTTGAGTTTTGGAGATGACAGAAGGTTTCCATGTCGCTGAAAGCAAATCCGATATAAAACTTATAGAATTCAAAATAGTAGATTCAATATCGACGACCTGGCGAACCAAAACAGTGTTATTTCGCTCTTTGCTGAACACAGGAATAACCACTAAGGGGCTATTTCGAGAAAGCAGTTTTCATTCTTCAAACTGCACCATTGCCGATATAAAAAAATATGTATCTATTATTTTTGATTACTCTACAAGTATACTGAGTTTCAATCAATTCGACGAGTAACACAAAAGTAATTTGCTAATCAACGACACGGCCTTGACAACATACGTCAACGTCAATGTGATTAGACCCAACTGCGTACGTCGAAATAATTGCCGAATTTTCCTGCTGTCCTTGTGAATACGCATCAATAACGACGATTTCGCCGTGACGGTAAAATCCTCAGTAGAGTCGTTCCTCCGATGAGTTCGCCCATTAAACACACTGGCGCAATATCGCGATACCGCGCGAGCATTATGAAGTTGAGGTCATTCGAACGTCAAATAAACATTTTCGACAACAGGGTCAATGTGGTGGTTGTTGTTACCGCAGGGTCGCTGGAGAGAGAAGGAAAGCTCGCAATTTAGCGGGAAATAAACGAAGCGGGGGAAAGACGCTGAAGTAACGCAGTTTCATTCCCGACGGCAGATAATCATTCAAGATTGGCTCGGCCGCACGACCATGATGAATCGGGAAAACGAGGAAGTACGTGGGTAAAATATCGCGAGAGCATCCGTTCATCCGTTCTAACTGTCCACCTAAGAGCCATATTCTAGACGCGCAATGCACACAAACGCTAAAAATAAAATAAAATAATAATAATAACAGTAATACTATATTGAACGCTGAAGCCGTATAAACAAAAATTAAAGTACCCGGAAAAATACGATATATACAATGGATAGAAGCGAGGGAAAGGCGAAGCAACACCTGTGCAACTGATTTTTCACGTCTCTTTAATTCTCTCAAGCCGTGTAACAATGTTGCACATGTCGTTCGTATAGGAAAAACGGAACTTGTAATCGGAAACTGCTACGTTTTAAACGTGCCGAACATGCGTTCAGAATAAGGGCTTAGGAACGACCGGTGTCGTTTATCGAGGTAAACCGATAGTTCATACGTTGTCTATATATATATATATATATATATAGACGAAAATCTATAGTATGTGACTATGTGTTTGACGTTCGATAATACGACTATATGGGTTCTACAAGCGTATCCAAAGCCCATGAAAATCGGTGAGAGAGAGAGAGAGAGACACCTTCCAACGAAAGTTCCCTCGTGTGAGCATTTTTTGTCCAGTTAGCGAGTTTATCACACAGCAAGCCTGCAAAGTTCTAAACCACCTTTTAATAACATCACATACACATAGATACGACACACACACACACACATAAACACACATACATACACGTACACACACATACGTAGATGTCACGATACGTGGTCTCGTTACGGGGAAACGAATCGCTACAGGGTGGCTACATGATGGCTGCTTTTATTAACCGACCGAACATGTCTTTGCGTTCGAGAACGTGAAGAGCCACTATTATTGACGCAGAGACGTGAGAGAACTTCGCCGAGGGAGATTTCCAGCAGATTTATTAGACATCGCGTTAGTTATTCGGTGGGCAATTAATTTTTCCATGAGCGCGAACGCTCGCTCTCACGTCAGCTCTTGCTCCCCTCCAAATGCCCGGCGACCTCGAGGCATTAATCTTTCACCGCCCTCAGCAGCGACCGATCGCCCAGACGCTGTGCGGCGCGCTGCAAAGGGAGCCGAATTGCAAATGCCTGCTGCTGTCGTTGCTGATATACATCTGCATCGCCGCGGTAACGTGGTGTAGGTGCACCAACGTCACCAAGGTACGTGTACAATCGCCGATCTCTCCGAGAGAGAGAGAGAGAAAGAGAAAAATTGCTCCTTTCCGTGCGCCTTTCTCTCGCTGACTCTTTTCCCCTTTCTCTCTCGCTCTCTCGCTCTCTTTCTCTTTCGCAATCCCATAAATAAACTCTCGCCCCTATTTTTTACTACCTAGCTCATGGTCAACTACGCCAAGTTCCCCATCAGAAGCTCGAAGCACATAACGTCGCCCTGCGACGAGGGCTACATATACATTCCGGTAAGTACATCGAAGAAAAAGAGACGGAAACGCGGACGTCGTCCCCTTCTTTCGCTGTCATCGGCTGCTTTCCACGTAGTAACACAATCGGGTCAACACAAATTCTCGTTTATTCGCCGTATCAATCGAACACAGCATTCCCATAGAAGCCCATCTACACGACAGAGACACACATGGGAGAGGATGACACAGAGAGAAGGAAAAAGAAAGAGGAGGGAGAGAGAGAGAGAGAGAGAGAGAGACGATGTCGATGAGAGGAGCGAAGGGACAATAATCAGTGATGCATTCAGGTGTGCGTGAAAATGAACAAAGGGATCGATATGAAGTAACGGCCGCGTTTTATTTTGTAACATATATCGATCGATGTTGTAATTGTTACTAAATGGAAAACATTCATTTCTTCGCTTTCTTCACTTTCACACACTTGAACACGTGCCATTTGACTATTGTTCCTTCACTCTTCTCATCATTATCTCTTGTCTCTTCACCTTCTCTCTCTCTCTCTCTCTATCTCCTTCTTCATTATCTTCTCTCATATCTGTAAATGGAATTTGTGCCATCTGCTGTATTTGATTAATCGGACGGCTAAACTGGAAGTTGACTCGTGTCAATTTACGTTACCAGATATGAAGCACCTATTACTTCACACCGATATCTTCCTTTCTTCGTTTTCACGTGCGGAGTGTTGCATCAACACACAGGTCATTACAACGGGTTGCCTACTCGCTTTGCCGGCAGGCGCGCGCGCTTGGAAACATACACGCTCACGGAACGATTTCCACATACTTATCACGTTCTTTTTGTTGGAAAACACGAGTGCGAGCCGTTTTGTAAACTAATATACCATGCTGAGTACGCATATCTTCCAGCAAAGCGAGTAGTAGGCAACCCAATCTGTACATTGACGCAACGTCTCGCACGTTCGGATGCACGCTGACCATTCAGAGGTCAATATTCACAGTCGGATTTTCTATTTAAGACCGTCTTAAGTTCATTTCCAGATGCTGTATGGCTCGTTTCAGTATCCGAACTTAAGACTTAAATATAACATCTTAAATATAAGAGCCGGCTATGAATACCAGTCTTATTTCTCCTTTTGCTTCTTCTCACCGTCATTGACATCTTCCGTTTCTTCTTTCCTGCCCCCCCCCCCCTCTATCTCTTTCTCTCTTCCTCTCTGTCACCCTCTCTGGTGTCTCTGTCCTATAGGTGGCATTTATGGGAATGCTATATCTAGTTTATCTGGTGGAGTGCTACCATTCGCCCATCAGAATCGATTTGTTGCACGCCGAGAGTCAGGACAGCGTGTTGGCCAAACTGGCGCAGCTGAAGATGGCACGGCCGACTATATGGTGGAGGGCGGTTTCCTACCACTACGCACGCAGAAAACGGCAGATCACGCGTTACAGGAACGGGGATAATTACATCACCACGCAGGTGACACATCTCGCCGCTCCGGCGGTCTTCGCCGAGGACGCTCGCCACCTTCTTCATCCTTCCGCCGTTGAATGTAAAATCCGAGCAAGCGCGTTTTCCGCGAAGTTTCGGCGCGCGACACGACACACATGCGTGTACATGAGATTTTTGAGAGAGAGAACCGGATCAGAAGTTGACGCGGGTTGGGGCTTGGAAGTGAACCCCGATAGGTAAAAATCGTGGAAACATCGCGGGATACAGCATCACCGACGAGATATTTCGCAACGATATTCCGCTAAGATGATTCACCATATCGCTACTGTTTCGTCATAATATTTAGCTAGAAATCAATTATCGCAATTAGCGCGAAAAGTAATCAATATTTTATAAAAGGTCGATATTTCCACATGTATTTTCTTAAATATACTCACATAATCGCGGCATCCCGAATTTCCCACAAGATCTCGTCATATGTAGTAATTTCACAGATGTTTCCCTATCGGGGCAGATTTCCGCTCCGTCGAAGTCAAGGAGGAATCGGTTAGGCGGAAAGAAATTAGCGCGTCGATTGTGAATAGATTCTCGACACCTGAGAAGTTATCTTCTCGACGTTTGCGTGGCCCGAACGACTACGTTTCTTCCCTCGCACTTTCGTCGGGTCGTGATGCGCATATATTAAGCCGTTTTAAAAGACGTTATCCGTCGGATGTACGAAAGTCACGCTGTGAAATTCATCGACGCTCAAAGGCGTCCTTTACGGCTCGATAAGAATCGCGATACCATTGGACATTCCGTTTCTGTACGCTGCGGATACACACAGTCACGGTGACGTCACAGATGGCGGAAGGGTGAAGGACGCGCCGAACATATTTCCGCCTCACCCTCCCGCTCCGTAGGTCTACTACGAAAGAGTGAATACACATGTGGCCACTTCCTCCTATTACTACCATTACTGCGGCGTCAAGGACATCAGCAAGGACCTGGTGCTCGGGGCGAAGATACCGATCACGAAGATCATGCTCACCAAGGGCTTCGCCTTTTCAAACATGACTTCGGCCACGGAGTTCGAGGAGATTCGATCGAGATTTTTTGCCGAACAGGTACGGAGACACGTGAGGCGACTTCTTTGTCGTTCTTCCGCGCTCGGCGGAAGAAAAGCGGCTCTGCAAGCTTGTTGTTGCGACTTCAGTTGTTGTGAAGCGACTTCAGTCATTTCGAAACCCTTCGACTTCGCATTTGTGTATATTCGCATTGACGCATGGGGAGGAAAGATTAAATTAACGTGACGGTGAACGAGCCAAACGCGTTCTCGTTGAGGGAAACTGTATCTTCCGGTTCTTAAAAATAATACCGGATTTGGTTCACAAAAATCGATAATTCTGTTTCCCTCGGCCAAGACGCGATTTGGTTCGTTCATCGTCACCAATTAACTCGACGAACCTTTAACCTCCCCGTGCGTATACCTAGATACAAAACGGCTCTTTCAGGAAATCAGGGATGACTACCTGGAGATGCGAGAAGGTCTCGACATCGGAAACAATGTCAATTCCACAATGCTGGTCGCCGTTCTCGGTAACCCTTGGTTCACGAACCGCTATGTCTACTGGTGCTTGAGTGCCTTGCTGCTCAGCTGGCCGTTGAGAGTGATCATAGAGTACAAGACGCAATATGCCGACTATCAGGTAAACATCAACAACCCTTTCCGACCGTCGATACTTCTCGGTCCGAGTGTGTGCGCGTATGTTCGCGCGAATTGGTGCAAAAGCCGAGCAAAGCATTCCTCTCTCCCCGCCAGATCACCAAGCTCTTCGGCGTGAACTACGACACACCGACGTCCGGCGAGCCCATCCACGCGTCCATGAGCCAGCTCAGCCAGCCAGGCTCCTACATGCTGGCGCCCAGTTACAGCGAGGCGTTGCTGATGGACCCGGCGCCCAGCAACGAGGTCGAGCGCGACCATGAGAACTGGCAAAGTTCTCAGACTCAGGCGGACGTGGAGACGGACATGGTGCCGAGCTATTCCGAGGCGCTTCTCTACGAGCGGGCCGAGCAGCTGAGCCACCAGAACGTGAACGTCGTGAGCGTCGTGAACGCCGCCGGGAACTCGGCCGACGCGACCACCTCCTGCAACATGGAGGACCCGGCCGAGCCGATCCTGACGACCCCGTGCGAGTACCACTGCCCTTGTCCGTGTCACAGCAACACCAACAGCTACGAGATCCGGGTGGACGAGCGCAGTTACATCGAGATCACGTCGAGCAGCGAGCACCTACCCGTCAGCCCACCACCGACGCACCGGGTGGTGAACGACGACGACGACACCTTCGAGAGCCGGATAGCGACGTTGAGGACCACGGCCGACGGTCGCCTGCATCCCTCCGCGAACCGGGCGCCCCGCTCGATGGACAACCTGCAGAGCGGAGCGTCGCCGAGCAAGTGCGGCAGTTGCGGCAGGATGTCCATCAGCACGCAGACCATCAACTCGGACGACCATGCGCGCGCCAAGTCCGGCAGAAGCTCGCGGACCTCGTCGGTCGACTTCGTCACCGGCGTGACGCCCAAGAGGGACAAGCAGACCATACCCTGCAACATCTCCGAGCCGAACCTGCGATCCCGCTCGGAACCGGCGAACGCATACTTGAAGGAGAACGTGAAGAGCCTGGAGAACATCCTGGAGAACGAGGAGGAGCCGATGAGGAGCGGCAAAGCCGGCTGCGCCAGTGCGGAGGCGAATTTGCCGAGCGAAAGGCCGTACTTCGGCGGGCATCAGAGGTGGACCCCCGTGCCCAGGCCACCCTCGCTCTCCCACTCCCGTTCTTTGTCCCTCGACGAGGAGAGCGTATCCAGCAGAGCGTACATGAGCAACAAGGGCGCCATCCCGAGGACCGAGGCCGCGCGCAGCAGGATCACCGTGAACCCGATATCGAACGAGGCCTGTTGGAAGCTGCCCAACTCGAAGACGTACTTCTGCCTCAAGTCGATTCTCAAGCAGAACAGGCGGCGGTACACCCTGGTGACGGCGGACGAGTACCAGAACCTCGCGGATCAGACCGCCGACAGAGGCCTGGAGGGCGTCGACGCCTTCGGCAGAGGCAAGAAGGACGACGTCTGGGCCGACAGGTTCGCCGATCGGTCGCGCATGAGGGAGAACTTCGCGAACCCCAGGAGGAGGATGCCGTCGTTCGAAGAGTTTATGGTGGTTGGTGGGGACAGGCCGTACCCGGCCGGCGATCAAAACAGGGAAGGCACCAGGTAAGTTACCTGTTGTTTCCGTGCTAAATTCTTTCGGTAATTACACCGCACGACTTTCCTTCCCCTTCCGAGCGACTAGGCTACTTGAAGCTCGACGTTAAACGTCTGTGTCTTGCCATTTCTCATTTGTGTATCGCCATGCTGTGTGTAATTACTGTGAACGTAAAATGTATGCGTCGGCTTTACTGCTATTATTAGTTCAATAATCGCTGTTTCTTGCTTTTATTCGGTCCGGATGAGAGAGAATGGAAAAGAGGAGCGGAGAGTTAATAAAACAATGCAGAAGAATAAAACGAATTTGAAAGCTAATGAAGTTCAATTGAAAGAGATTGAAAGATATCAAAGGGAGCTGTGAGAAAAGAAAGGAAAATGAGAGGAAATGATGGGGCAAAAGAGAATGCAAATTAACAACAGTGAATGAGGAGAAATAAGTAAGAACAAAACAAAATAATAGGGAATGAGAAAGATTAGTTTTGAATGAGAGAAAATTAAGGAGGGACGAAACAGAGCGATAATTAAAACAGAACGGAAATCAGGAGAGAGAATATTAAAAGATAAGAAAAAAAAAGGAAAAAAAACTAAGAAAAAAAAAACGGGAAAGATTATTGGAAAATAAGAGAGAAGATGGGGCTAATGAAGGAAACGAATGAAGTGAATGTGAGTTAATGAGGAAAAGTGAGCAAATATGAGGAAAGATGAAAGAAGAGAGAATGTGGGTTTTGTTTTATCGCGATGTAACTATTCAGCTTGCCCCTTTGTTTTCGCTATGACAGTTAACGTTTGCTCCGCGTCTCGAAGTTAAGGCAACACGCATCGCCGTTTGCAAGCGCGCCGGGAGCTGTCATGTAACATTCGCGCGTGACTGACACCCTTGTCTCGTCGAGTCGTTGAATACCATCGATTACCTTAACTTCGGCACGCACACACTCCAAAACCGAACAATTTCCTAACTCTTTGAGTGCTGCTGTACGGCGCGTACGGTGTGCTTCGCTGTTTCGCTATGAACTACCGGCTCTTATCTGCACGTTCGCTCTTTCAGCTTGTCAGCCTCAGTTGTAAGCTTTATATCGCGCTGTGAGTATAGAAACGCTTACGCATCTCTGTTCTGCCCGTCATCGCCGGTCACGGGAACGAGTCGCGTTCCCCGCCGCATAGAAGGCTTTTCAGCCGCGCGGCTCCGCGGCACTCAAAGGGTTAAAGTCGATCGATGTGATCTTTATAGAACGCTCATCTTCGCCAGTCCTCTGCAAAAGATCCCGAGCAGCGACCCGTTCGGCGGCAAGGACCTCGTGCCGGGCAGGAGCTCGATGGAGCGCAACCTCAGGGAGAACCCGACGCCGGTTCTCGCGCGTCTCGCACGGTCGACGGCCGATCGGGAAGCTAAGCGACGTGTTCCCGACTACAACCGGCATCGTCGCGTGTACAACGTCCAGCAAGAGCGCCCGGTGATGCATCCGTTCCTCCATTCGCACGCTCAACACCAGCATCAGCATCAGCACCAGCATCCACTACTTCAGCACAGATTGCCGTCGGTGGACCACGGGGATCGCATGGACGACTTCCAGACCAACGAGACGCCGTATCGAAGCAACGTCTCCCTTCCACCCCACAACAGCCTGTTCTCCGAGCACGCCGGCAGGAGGTCGATGATAAGGACCTCGAGCGAGCAGTACGACAGGTCGACCGGTGACCGTCGCCCGATTGATCTACGCTCGCTGAACAGGAGGCACCAGTGCGCCGGCCTGACCAGATCGTTCACGGAACGGCGCCCGAAAGTCGCGCGTCTCGACAGGAACTTCCGTAGAAGCTTCAACGGCAGGGTGGAGGATTACAGGACGGAGGATTATAGAACGGAGAATTACAGGACGGAGGATTACAGAACGGAGGATTACAGGACGGAGGATTACAGAATGGAGAACACCAAACGAAGGAATTTCAGCATGGAGACGTCGTTGTAACAAGCATAACCGAGCGGTCTATCAGGATGGACTGTGTGGTTCTCGGTTGTAAGCGAGTAATTCCTTCGCTACGCAAGGTGTCTCTAAATCGGCCCGTCAACTCGTTCTCCTAGAGGAAGACCGGGACCGTTCCCCGACGTAGTTCTAATTACAAATAGTATAATTACGAATAGCCGCGCGTCCGGCATTGTAAGTCGAGGACGCCGAATTGCTCTTTTACTTCGAAAATCAGTCGGCAATTCATATTTTTCAGCTCCGTATCGTCGCATCTGTGCTCGTTAATATTTTCAAAGCAAGTCGAGCTCGTTCGCCCGCGAAAATGTAAGTCGTCTGTCTTATATAATTTATTATAACTGACTGCGTTCAGAAAGTATAACGGATGAGTTCACTGTACTAGTGTTCTTGAAACTATCTGTGGAACTATTCTCTGAAAAACAAAAATTTGACTTCGAGTTAATTAAAATTATGTCTTCATCAATAAATACAGTGAACTTTATGAAATAATGGAAATTGGTGATAATAATTATTTATATAATTATTTATTAATTACTTATGTAATGAAAAAGGTAAATTTCTCCGTTTTTCTATCAAGTTTAAAATAAAATCGATTTCTTCATTATTCAGTTTCCTCCTGTAATTAGTTTTATTTATTAATAAGATTTTATCAACGGAAATCGAATATATTAATATACTTACATAATTACCTATTTTTAACTTTAATAAAATTCACAACTTTACTTTGAGATTAAAGTGTGAGACAGCAGCCATGACAGCTCGTTTGACATTTATTTACATGCTCGACTTGCTCGACGACTCATAATCACGTTCTCCATCTGCTAGCTCGCATCTCAGATTTATGCCGATTTGCAATGCCGAACGCAGCTGATATCGTTTCGCGAGTCACTAATTCCTTCGGACGAGATCCGTTTGAGATTGAGACCAAGAGGAAAAGCCAGAAATCTTGACGAGAATCGCGTTCTTCCAAGTTTCTTTCTCTTCCAAGTCGCGAGCGACGCATTGATTATTTCACTTCTCTCGTAAACTTAGATCTTAAAACTGTACATTGAAAATTCACGTAAACAGCGAAATAATTTAGATCGCCTGAAAGACATCTTTAGCGATAGCAATGGAGGAATTTAATTCCCCGCGGAGGGGAATCTCGTTACACGGAGTTGATGATTTAGAATCACCTTGAGGTAACTCGCCAAGAAGGAGGAACTTTCTAAGTAAATGATCGGTTAAACCGGCGCGATTCGCTCTTAAACACGGTTGTATCCCCATCGTCGTGCAAGTTTTCCTCCTCTATCTATATTATAGATGGGACTCTTAGAGATCTAGTTAGGTCACAGAGAGCGAGAGAGTCGTTGACCGGGTTCGGTTTAGACCGAGCCGTCGACTCAGCCTTAAAAGAAAAAGTTGTTACTCCTTTGTTCCACGCTACTTGTAAATATATCCGTCCTACTACTTTTCGAATAACCAGAATACGCAAACGGGTCGTGCGATTTCAAAGGACACTCCAACCAGCGAGCTATTGCTCGTAACTCGTCCTCGCTTCGAGACGACGGCGCCCTCGAAAGAGAGAGGCCGTACAATGTTTGGGCTTCGGACTTCCGGCTGGGCTGATGAAGCTCTTGCGAAACAGAGCCCGCGTTCACGCGCCATGTTTACCATTAAATACGGTCCGTCTAGAATATTTCGTTGTTAAACTATTGATTAAACGATCTTGTACGGTAATTGCGGCGTCGAGAAGCTCAACTAGGAAGTTTGAGAAAAATCGCGCGATCGGAGTAGTTCAAAGTCTCGAAAAGTTCGAGAAACGTCGAAACGTACCCAACTAAACACCGACTGACAGTGACATTACAACAATATAAGTGCAATATAGCAAGGTTGTACCGTAGATTTTAAGATCACGATCTGCTGATTGGCTGATTTACGTATTGCCTGCGTGATATCAACATAGACTTTCCTCACGTAGACAATGTGTAAACTATGTAAAATATTACAAATTGCACAGTGCTCAGTGCAAAGAGAATGACTAAATTATTAATTTAAATTAGTTTAAACTATAAAATAATTTCACGTATTCCGATTTTGATGTTGATTCTTACGCCCTGCAACATAGCACATGTACTGCAAATATAATGACGTATTAACGACGTATTAAGGGCGCCAGTGACGCCGTTGAAACATCATCACGTTTGCTGTCTGTGTGTGTTGTACGTAGCGACTACATCGTTGAGTAAATGACATAACATTGATATAACTTTACTGTCAGTCGGATGTTTACCGGGCCAATACGATCGGCAAAAGACCGATCGCGTTATCGCGGCTCATCGTGACGGAGATACGATCGTATTTTACGCTAAATGTGTTCCGTGAGAGAGCACGGAACGGAGTGTACAAAAGTAGAAGAAGAAGCTTCGCATCGCTGAATAGAGCGCTTAGCTGAGCGCTAAGCGGACGCGCCTCGGGGGTGGCTCCAAGTACAATTAATTTTTTTCCCGGAATGACGTGCCTCGCTAATTTAGCCAAGCCAATTTTCGAAAGTTACTCGCGCGCGAGATTTACTATTATTAATTAAAGCGTATGCGCTGTTACAAAACATCGAGTCAATTAACATGCGCAAGCTAACCGCGTGTGTGTGTTGTTGTTGTGGCCAAAGAAGAGAATAAGAAGGGGAAGAAAAGAGAGGGACAAAAATTAAACGTTAGATTAGATCGTAGACATTGAAATTGAGCGCTTTGCGTTGTCGTCGCGCGAGTGTTCAACGAGCTCGAACACGCCAACGCGTTTAGGTCTAATGCGAGTGTCTCGTCGGTGCCATAACCGACTGAATCAGGCCGATTTGTCCGTTTTTTAAGTACTCTGTGGAATAATTATCTGGAAAAAAACGAGAACTCCATATTGCGTATCGTTAAATACACACACATATACACGCACATTTACAGGCTCCGATTTGATTACTACACCGACGTTAACCGTTACCGTCATGAATTTTTTTCTCGAGTCTCGATTCATTTTACGTTCACATTCGCCTTACATTCGCACAAGTGAGCTGAGAATTGACCACCTTACCGGTCCCGTTCGCGTCGGAGGCCGGTCTCCTCTCAGGTCTTCGTCGTTACACGGAGAAAAGATATTGCAGTAAGAATCACCAGAAAATTTCGCAATGCTGGACCATACCGGAACTACATCTGAAATTATTATGCGTGCTGTAATCTTTAGTGACGTGTAAAGATTACAACACACGTCATAATTCCGGTATGGTCCGGCGTTAGAAAATTTCGTGTGGTGATTTTTACCGCAATACCTTCCCCGTGTACTCTTGTATTTAAACGTAAACGACGAAATTGAACGGGCGTTCCACTTGTTACTAATTGTTACAAAAATCACACGATATACCTATACATATATATTATATACATATATATATATATATATATATATATACACATATATATAAATATACGTGTAAGTCTGCGTGCACGCATACGCGCTACGCACACGCCTGCGGTAAGCGGAAGAGACGATGGGATCCGCAAGAATGCGTTCTTTGGACCGACGAAGTGCAGAGGGAATAACGGACGAGAGATTAAAAGACTACAAGTCTGCAAATCAAGTCCAGGACCAAATTTACGCGAAGACTTAGTCGTAAGTGAGTCGACGTAACGAGAACCACGTGGAACGGATTCTTGCTGTCGAGCTGAGCTCGTCGAGCCTTTCGTCTCGTCCGTCTCATTTCGGAACTTTTTCACCGCATAGATGTGCACAAAGTGGTGTGGGTATATACTCGTCAAGCGATACTGAGTTGCGCAACTTCTTACGGTAGGGTAAAGCGAGGTAACTTGACGTTAATCGATAATTCAATAATAATATACACTGCACGCATTGATTGTCAGAGAGCGCGCGTTTACCGCGCAGCACCTTCCGCAGGTAAAGAAACGTCGTCGGGTATCGTTGAGTTTGTTAATAGACGTTCGTTAGCGATCTTACAGCCTCGGTACGTGCGGTTTTCGCTCACGCACACATCACCGGCGTATGCCTTCGTCGTGTTTATACTTTAGATTCGTAATTCTAAGGCTAAGTGACGCGAGTAAGAAATGACGCTCGAACGAGATTAGAAAAAAATAAAGAAAAATCGTAAATTACAATGCGCACACGCACAGATCGGCATGGCAGCCTCGACGTCTATTAGCCCGGATTAGTAACAGGGCTGAGAAAAAAAAATATCGAGGAGATAAAAAATATTTATTCGGTTGAGTACTAATAAAACGTTTATTTAAATTTACATTCCTTAGTTTTAAAAGAACACAAACAATTGCTTTCACAAAAAACTACGCTTCCAAGAAAATGTATATATTCTTATTTGAAAAAAAAATGTTTCAGTTGAAAACTGAATGTATATTGATATAAGTAAATATGAAAATTAGTATCCACCGAATATATGCTTTTTATTTGTCCGATTTTCTTCCAAGTACGGTGAACGTCGTCGAACAGCAGTAACGTTATATCAGCGTTGTAATTTCTCCCCATTCAACGATGTGACTTGTTACGTACAACATGCGTTATGTTGCACTCACACTGCTGCAGTGAGAAATTATAACATTGATATAACATTACTCGCTCTTTAGTGGGTAGGATTTTTCAGTCGCTCGCATCGTGCCAACATATTCCTGCATCATAACTATTGATTATTTAACCAAACGGCGAAGATCTAGCGGATATTACTTCTTTCGGGTTTTTTTCTTTTTTTTAGATCTCGTAACTAGAAATTACAATTACGATACAACGCGAGTGATTGAAAAATTGGAATTAATGTTGCGCCACGGGACGTAACGACTGTTACCATACTGGTCTGTGCATATTTCGCGCGGATCTACGGTCGATTCGAGTGCTCGATGAAATTTGCCGCAATGTGGCGGGCAAAAAAAGATATAAAAATGAAAAAGAGCATGTTGCTATAGCTTTCTTACCGAGGATGTTTGTACAACGAAGCCGTATTTTTTTAGCGAAGTGTAATACATATTTTACATAAGTGGAGTTCGATCCACGCGTTCCGCGGGGAAGCATGTATGCTTGTTGAATAGGCTGTTATGTACAACAAAGTACGCTACGCTACGAGCCAAATAACGAGCCAACAGTAAATCCGTCGTTCAATCACGCCAACGTTTACTTTTTAATCTCTTGCGGACAATCTACGACGTCACTATTAGAACGCGCACAATGGGATCGATTTTGCTCTCTCTCTCTCTCTCTCTCTCTCTCTCTATTTAAATAAACTAACAATACCGAACTTATGCCGTCTCAGAAAAAGTGCTCTTCTAATTAAACGTCGTTATAGGTCGAAGCTAAAACGCAGAGAAAAAAAGTCGAGAGTACGATGAGAGCGGAATTACGCACGCATAACCCGTTAGTGTAGATCAACGGTAGTGGGATGTCATAGGATATGATTATTGTAATTATTAATTATCATTATTATATAATGTTACGAATAACAAAGCGCACGACATTGCTGTAAAAATACTATTGGTACGTGAAATAGATGTTATAAAGGAATGAAAGAAAAAACAGGAAAGGACAAGTTATGCGTCTTCTCATTAGTGGTCGCGCGAATGAAACGAAAAATACGTTACATCTTTGCTGCGTTATACTTTTCTCCGGAAGAAAAACATATAATATTATGCCTAATATGTAAGCAAACTTGTATAACGTCAAGTTAATATCAAAGCGAATATCACTGCAGAAGTCCACAGGTTTGTAGTAACAATTAAATTCGACGAAAGTGACAGCCCGATCGACAAGGGACGAGCGATTATCATAAACTGGAGGGAACGCGAGAGCATATCAGGTGAATCAAGTCTAAGAACTCTGATAACACTCGAAAGTACTGTTATATTAAAAATTTAACGTTATTTCAGTGACAGATGCACAGAGCTTACGCCGCTCCGTTTGCCACCAGCGAGAAAGATCGCTAATGTTGACGTCAGCAAGTGGATTTCGGATCCTGCGGGAACGAACCGGCGAGGAAGTACGTTCCTGAGTGGCTTTTACCTGTCATTTGATTGTTCCGTGCTTTCATTTAGCTTAAATTAGCAGCGACCGCGAGATTGGTATTGTTGTAAAAGAATTTGTTCTTTCCTTCCAAAAGGATGTGTGCAAATCGCGTGTTGCGAGTGAATTATAAGTATTTTGCAAGATCAGAGTTATCATATGTATATGAATATCATCCTTAACTACTCTGCAGGATACTCTATTCTTTACAATAATAATATAATAAAGTTAGTTATATATAATTATACATAGGTTTCTTATACATATTTTTTTCATAAAAAGTATATATTAATTTCGACTACGAGGGCAAATTAAATATAAACCTGAATTTATTTTTCATTATTTGTTGGATAAAAATAAAAATATAAAGAAAACAAATAATTTTTCTACATAGTTCCCTGCATTAATACATTTTTGCCATTTTCCGGTTTTTATGCCCCCAAGCTATAAGGACACCATAAAAAAAATTCCATTTATATTTGATGTGACGTTGCATTTCAGAGAATCACGTAAAACTGGTCCACGTGACCTCTTTCATAGTATTGGAAAATACTGAACCGACAATGGGTAAATATGTCGGAATAGCGGCCTTGGTATATATGTCGTTAAAAATAATGTAATGGTTGTCTCAAAAAAAAATCAAATCAAATCAAAACCGGAGAATTGGTTTTGTTAAATATATATATTTTATTGTCTCCATTACGTACGCATTAATATATTCCTTAGAAAATATCCTGTTGTCACATGTACATTGTGTCCACTAAACAATTACTACCGAAAATTTTAATGACGCCTGTGATTAATCAACCTGAATATTTTGCCAGACTTGATTTATATACTATAATAAGCAAAATTACTTAATCGCGCTTCGAACTTTTGGAGAAAGGATTTAACTTCGTTACCCAGGAAGGATCTCTGCAAAAGAGAATTTCATTTGTCACCCTTATCTCGTATATCTTGGACTGCACGTAAATAATATATGCGTATAATATCCACGTACGTTTCCGCTGGTGATACCACATCCACACCTTCAGCTTCTTTAATCTTATTCTCCTTGAGTTTGGCGATTAATTCTGATCTATATTGAATCTTCAGAGGTACAGTAGTCGTCGCCGTCAGCCGCAAATATTTTTTAATGGCTTCTTCGAGCGTTAATCCATACCATTCTATTTCTTCCTTCGTGTACTAAAAATATATTAACATAGCGGTGATGATTTTATGATAAATTCATATCCTAGGTATAATATACAAACATCTCAAATTTAATTCTGCACATTTAGTATATATAATTTTAATTAGCTCCTAATAATCTGGAGACATCACACGTGAAAGAGAAATAAAAATATTCTTACAGCTGACAGGTATTGCTGGTACTTTGAGTACACCTCCTCACGCTTCTCGGGATCGTCAGGATACAGGGTCTTATTTGCTAACGTTATGAGTATCTTGCGTTTTATTTTCAATGCAAGTTTAGATTGCAAGTCGCAGGCCGGTGTCTGTAAATAATAATAGTTTATTCGTGAACTAAAAGTAAAGAATCTCACGAAACGTGTTCTTCAAAGCAAGTTTTGCTACTTTATCAGCCAAATTAAAGATTTCAACGTACCTTTAATAAATAATGATCAAATCCATAGTTCTCATGAATTAATCTTACCAGTCTGAAGGTAATCACAACTCTCATATATTCGTTGAGAACTTCACTATAGACAACTGATCTCATTACGCTAGGCATCCAAAAGTGTGCAACCTTCCTCTTAAATTTTCCCTTTTTCTGAAAGCCTTGTATAATATTTTCACCTCCCCATATACCTGTGTGCACTTCCTTGCACTTTAATAAAGGTATCGGTATATTTTGTACAGGAAATCTGCCAGCAAGATTGTAATATGTATAACATATGTTTAACAAAGTTATTACAATAGAATTATCGAACAGGAACTGAATATAAATATTTAAACATACACTTCCTCTGTTTCATCCTTCCTTTCATATTTGCCTTTTTTCTCAATATAATGAACCGCAGATGGTGGTGTTTTCCATTCCTTCCAGAACTTCTTATACGCTTCTGGCAACTTAGCACCGATTCCTTTGTCCCACAGTTTCGGTTTTTTTAAATAATACAATTTCTACAAGAATTTTGATACACTTTATTTCTTTGCAAATAAGAAAATTTAACGAATCACGGGAAGTTTAACATTTTTTTATTCGGACGTCAGGCTATAATATATACTTTCAGTTTATTAATTCTAACATGTTTGTTGATAAGTTATAAGGTAGTAATACAATAGACATATTTTTTAACTTATTTTCTTCCTCGATTCCTATTGTTTCCTCTCTTTTTTATTCTTCTTATATTTATACCTTATTTTAATCTAGTTTCATCTTGTATTTATTATCTTACTCGAAATGATCTCAACGAACTTATTTCTTTATTATTACGCTAATAGATATAAATAGTAAGGTTATGTTCTCAAAAAGGGGAAGACTAAGATACTGAAGGAGTACAGTATATAAATATTTTATATATCAATTCTTGTATGTATATTCTATATAGAACAACAAAATGAAAATAATTTTAAATATTCCCATAATGACAATAATGTTAAACCAACCGTCAGATATCTCTATTCGACTCGAGGTTAGAATAAATGATTTTGGACTTCTTTCACAAATAACATACATTACAGAATAATTATTTATTTTACCTTCCCTATCTCAATATTCTTCTGCATATTGTTAGTCGGTTTTCAACAAGTTATGTCAGGATTAATTCCGAAAACAAATTTTGACCGAGTGCCACCTTCAAGGCTGGACAACAATCGACCGGACATACGATTCTCGTTTTATCAAAAAATCGATTATCTTCTTTATACTTTCAAAGTCGATTAATAGATATAATCGATAGTTCCTTAATTCGATGTTACCAGATGTTACTAAACACCAATTCGAGCAACTCGTGCGTGTTCTTCGAGAATATCGTAGAAAAGTCATCAGATAATAAAAAGAACAAATTAAATCTATACGGTTTCTTCCACCAAGATAATGCCCGACCTCACATTTCTTTTATTACTCGTCGAAAATTATTGGAACTGGCTGGAACGTTCTGCCTCATCCATCGTATTCTTCACACCTTGCGCTATCAGATCATTATTTATTCCATTCCTTGCAGAATTACTTTCATGAAAAAAATTCAACAATCTGGAAGTCTAAAATCTATCTAAAGCAGTTTTTCGCCGAGAAATATGGAAAGTTCTTCGAGAACGGAATAATGAAGCTGCTTGAAAGATGGAAGAAAGTAATCGAACAAAACAATCAAATACATTGATAAAGTTTTGAGTTTGCACACACATCTTTAAATTTCCTTTAAAAAACAAAAAGATTTTTTAGTCAACTCAATATCTCTAATACATTTCTTAAAACTACCACTCCTTGCCGTCTCTTATATCCTTATTTTTAATCCATAAAAATAAAATTTGATAACGGAACGTTGATATGCCTCAACATCACAATTCTATGTTTATAATTTACAATTGGAATTTATTCGATTTATCCTTCTCAATTGGAATTCAAGTGTTTGGTTGCGAAATCACAAGATTATTTCACACCGAAGAACCGAGATTTCGCAACGCAAACGTAACAAATTTCATCGCTACATATAATGTACATTACTATAACGCCCAAATCTTTATGTCCTAACTATAACTGCGAGAAAATCGTTCGTCGCAAAAATTACTACGATATGGAGCACTCCAAGTCGGCATCCTTTGGCAGACAGGGCAGCATCGAGGCAACGGCCCTCGTAATGTACGTCATCGTTCCGTAACTACCGCTGGGCGCGCTATCATAAAAGTGTTGGCAAACGTACGCCGCTCCGCCGCACAATAGCGTTCCCATCGCTGTCGTTTCGCGTTGTTCTTTTGGTTTCGCGCAACACAACGTCGCGTCACCGTCGACGATCATCTGTAATTCCGTAATTACCACGTTTAGGAGTCTACAAAAGAAACGGTTCACCCCGTGTCTTTCTAACACAACACAATCCTGACTTTGAAGGACTATCACACACGGAGAACACAATGGTTCGACGTGATATAATAATATCGCGTACCTGATCCTCCAAGAAAATGGCATTCGCCTTATGCACTAAATGTTCCACTGCAATCAGACCGCCTAAAGACGCCACGATGTTGTGTTCGGTGACCAACGTTAACACCATCAGCGCTTCGACAACGAGCTGACGATACTCCGGCTGCGGTATAGTATTCAGAACTGTTTCGACGGCTAACGCGAATTTCAGCTCACCCGACGTCATTTCCTGCGTGAGATTCTGAGGCAACACCCTTCCCTCGATCGCCAAACCTTGACACTATTGGAAATAGTGGCATTTCTTTTTTTTGTAAAGTTACGTATTGTAATTAGAGCATCGTATCTTGTATTATGAAACAAATAAATGATTTTACCCTTTCGAGTACTTGCCACACACGCGGGTAGAAATCTCTCGGTACTCTGTTCAACGCGCCGTCCAGTCGTCGTCTTCGCAACCACTGGCCTTGCCGATCGGCTTCCGCTTCGGCACCGTCGGTCTGATCGGCGCTCAAGAAGCCGCCGATCTGAGATTTCTATGTTAAGGGAGAAAAACTTTATCTCTCCCTGCACCTTCACGTGACTCGTGAACAAGATCGTGAGAGTTTCATGATGAAACGGTAACGTTTATCGAATGCAAACCCGAATTGTAAAAAAATCACAATTCTATAATACATCTTACAAGTAAAATCAAGTCCTACGTTAAATAAATAGAAGAGGGTTAAAACATACTTCGATATTTCCCATACGGTATCTGGGCTGTACGTCCGTAAATCGATACATAAAAATTAAAAGAACCATCGTGGCTCAAATGGAAGGTTACTTTGTGCATGATACTATTAATAGTAACATCATTACCTTGCTGAGTTTGCTCGATTTGCAGCTGATGACAGAGAAGTTACCACGACCAACTGCAATACAACGAGACGCCATTGTTACGTTCGAACACGAACTATTCGAATCTCAAGCGATTAAGGATGACTTTCATCAAATTCTCGATCAATCGACTAAACTAATCGATGAATGATCAAAATTACCAGCATCAATTTCCAGTTCTGTAACTTGTCGTTCAACAATAAACAAAAACTCACTAACTTCTATCTGTGTCAGCAAGATAGAGCAGGTGGCACTTGACTGACAGCAATTTGAAATCGTCGATCAGCTTAATCGGACTTTGGCGAGTTACCTTAAATAATAAAATAGAAAACAGTACCACTGCTGATGGCGAATTCCTTTCCGCTCATGATGTGATGCAGCAAATTCTTCATTTCGAACGGAGACAGATTCAATAGGTGTTCGGAGGCCTCCTCGCCGGTGCAGATCAACGTGCGCGACAATTCCGTCGCCATGACTTGGATGATCAGGCCGACTCGCAGCCTCAGCATCTCGTGAAATAGTTGCGGCTCCGTTCTGATGAACATCGCCAGGTAGACAAGCAACTCCTGCGTCAACATAGCAGTCGATTCGTCGTCGCCATAAGCCTGATGGATCAGAGCTCGCAGCTCATTCTCCGGCAAAGGCGCGACTATCGTGTGCTCGTTGGTCGGCGGCATGCCGACGGTCACCTGCTTCTGGCGCACCAGCAGATCGGTAACGGCCTTCGCCAGGTCCTCCACCCGTTTACCCAACATACCGGCGCTGTGTCGCACGATACCCCACATTTTCTGCTGGCAGGCCTTCTCGTAGAGACTCTTCAGCAAGTCCTTCACCAGAACGGGATGTCCTTCCTCGAGTACACCGGTGTTGAAGTACAACCCTTTCGAATCCACCTATACGAACGTCAAATAACACTACGTTCAGCGGAAAAAGTAGCTCGGTGAGAGAGCTTAATGATTATTGCTCCTGATTGGTACACTCTCTTGCATCTATCAAGAATCTAAACGAATACTCCGGTCACAAGCAATATTTACTAAGGGCTCACTGAGCTTCTTTCCATGCTGAATACAGCTGTCTACTATTCTTGTTAGTTTCATCCCGGATTGTTGTTCCACGTATACGTACGTGCACTCGTATGTGCACACATACGCAGATAAATCTAGATTTTAACCTAGATTTTACGCATACAAGACCTTGAGAGAATTGTAATGATGTATGAAATGCACAAGTTAATACATAAGCTGGTCCTATAAATCAAAATAGGGAGACGACTAACGAGATACTGCAGAATATCTCCTTGTTCCTCGAGGCTTTCCGTTTCACGCAGCATGGACAGCAATTCTTCCACCTCTGTCTCGGCGTACTGAGTTTCAGACACTGTTCTATGTCTATTGTGCACTTTGGGGGAGTTTTTCCACGGCAGCATCTCCTCTGTCGGCGATGGTGTGCGGTCTATCATCACCGGCTGGGTAGCGCTGGGAGACAACGTGGTGTCCGTCACTTCAATAAACGGATTTGCGATTAAAGCGAATGATGCCCTACGGTCTTCCCCTGCCATTCCAAGAATCTCTGCTACAATGGGGCAGAAAGATCAATTAATTCTATGTGTGTGTGTGTGTGTGTGTGTGTGTGTGTGTGTTCAATAATACTGCTGATAAAACATTATTTACCGTACAAATTAATTCTTATACAAGCATGAGAGAGCAAAGCATAAAATGCGATTATTCGTTAGAAATGCCAAAATAATCCATCAGTGAATAAGTCATAGACAATAAATAAATAAACAAAATCAACGGTCGAGAGTGGAGCGCAACACTCTTACAGACATTTGTCATCGATTTCTATTAAATGAAAAGACGGAAATACATTAATCAGTATAGTATTTAATTAGTGCACTTACGTTCTTGGAAAGTGGTAGCGACAAGAAGACATTGCGTTTAAGGGTCCTCTTTAAAAAAATACACAGTCAACACACAGTTAGAAAATGCAAACCATTCCATTTTCGAGTTCGCCGTCGGGACGAACGTTACTTACGCTCGACAGCTATAGATCGAGTTTTCTTTATCGCGCCTTTCACAGACATCCTACGCCGCACGTTCTTTCCCGTACGGGTAGGTCCTTGCTTGTTGAGAAGTCCTGTACGATGAGGGAACGCACGCATCAGATGCTCCTCCAAGTATTGATGAACCTTTCAAATGTGAACGAACACACTAACAGATCTGCATCTACTTGGATTAGTCTCACATCAAATAATTCACATGCCGTATAATAAGAATATTTAAGGTAACTTTCGCCAAAGAGTCAGATTAAGTTAAGAGGTTAATCGGATTTAAAATTGTCAGAAGTGATTAACTTTTCGATTATCGTTGAACGACAAGTTACAGAACTGGGAGTTGACGCTAGCAATTTTTATTACTATTCACCGACTAGCTTAATAGGTAGTGTTTGCCATTTAAACGTCATGTACCTGAGGATTTAGCTTGTCAGGACGACCGTCTTCGGAACTTCCCAGGAAGCTGAGATTCGTGATACACGAAGTATTCAAGAAATCGTTCAAATTTCCCAATGACACTCTGGTGCCATTAATATAGCCGCTCTTGAGCTTCTTCATGGTGGTTATCATAGCTAACGGTATCTTACCTTGATCTGAAAAGGAATTTAAGATTAGTTTTGACTAGATATCAAATAAGAGAAAGAGAGAGAAAGAAAGAGAGAGCGAGAGGTAATGATATAGTTGCGTTCGTTACATGCTGAAGACAACAATATATTATCTTAGTTTCTCTATGCGACTTCCGACAATTAATTTCATGCTACGAAATTGTAATATACGATCATCATCATCATCATCATCATATGTACTATCTGTGTCAAGCTTTTCGTGGTAAGATGATTTAAAGCTTGCAACGAGAGCGTACCTAGATGATTATGAGTAGCGACAAGTGTTATGGTTGGCCTGCCGAGCATTTGCTTCCAGTTGATTGTAAGGAAGGCCAAGTTGGTTGTGAAAGTGTCGACAAGCAGGGCGGCGTCATTTGTCGTGTAGTATTCCTCCGTGTCAAAGTTCTAACACATGCAACACACGCGTGTACCAACAAACACATAGTAAGCTGCATAATCTCCGTATGGTGGTGGTTATATCGTCGGTGGTTATATCTTATCGTTTCTCTCAAAGATGAAATGATCACCCCTCGTTATCTCCGTTCAAACGTCTCTTCGAAGTCAACACAACTCACAAATCCGCTTTTGAGAGGTCCAAGTGAACCTCAAGTCAAGTGTTAGTAACGAACAGCGCCACGAAAGGCATTAAGAAATATAATATAGATCGTTATTTATAAAAAGTTATGCCTAACGTTTTATTATGATGTTGACATACATGTATTATAAAGCCTGGAATTCCAAGTCACGCATACATTTGAAACCACGTTGGGGTCGCATCTGGTTCCTGAGATATAGCATTTTATTTTTATTAGCAGTCTTAGTCCGGATCTACATTAGGTGTAGCGAGCCTTTAGCCTTTTGCTCTAAACAACAAAATGTAACGTAATTTTTGGCAAAAGGCGTTTTTGCCGTAATAAGTCGCAATAACGCTTAAATCTCGGGAGTTGCGACATCTACTAACGATGGAAACGCTGCTTTTTGTTAGAAATTACGTTACAACTTGACGCTTGGAGTAAAATAATGGAGGATTATTATATAGTTGTGTTCTAGATACAGCCTTACATTTGATTATTCTCAGAGAGTTGCTTCCCAACTACAACTTAAAACATCACAAACAAGGCAAGCAAAGGATAACAGCACAAATGATACGTTTGGAGCGACAGAAACCAGCTGAGAATATAATCAAGTATAAGACTGTAATACTAAAGTAACATATCTCACAAATCAGATGCCAATCTCACGTAGTTTGAAGCATAGCAGGTGACTTGAGACTTTATCTCCTACAATATATGTCAAAATGTCCAAGAATGATTCGTGAAGTGAATTTTTTGTAAACAATTGTCGTAGACTATATTGAACCTTGACGGTTCTAATTCATTTTCTCTATGCTATATCCCAGCTATAACCGGGCTGTCCATCGCAACAGATTGAAACTCCCCTCATCTACCTTAACCCTCCATGGGTAATATTATATTTTCGTTGAGGAACTATCTGATTTCTCAAAATCAAACTGTCGAAATGTAAATTGAGAAAAATCATGTTCCACGCAGTGCGTTTTTGATATATCACTAGGCCATAGAGAGTTAACTAGATGCTGAATGAAAAACCCTGACAAGAACAAGTGCATGCAGGCAAACATGTTAGTCGTTCAGAATGGACAATTATAGCTGTCGAGACAAACGAGGATCTCACACGGTAAATTCTGCATTTGGTAAAGCCACTGAGGCCGGTCCGCCTGGCCGTGGTGGCTCGAATGAATTCCAGAGACTAAACTATGCACAACTATGAGAGAAAAGCCGTGGATTCTTCAAATCTTGGAATTACCTAGGTGAATGTTCTTCACGGGCATGACCACGAGAGGCCGGCCCAACATGTTCTGCCAACTAGACTTCAAGAAATTAATTTCGCCTTTGAATATATCAATCATGAGCTCATAGTCCGATGCGATGTAGAAGCGGGTCATGTCTGTCAACTGGTGTTCGATGTAAGAACAAGAGGAAATGTAAGAAAAGAAATACAAATGTGAAAGAAAGAGAGAGAAATAGATAGAGAGAAAGAAGAGGAGGGGGAAGAAAGAGAAAGAGAAAGAGAATGGGGAGAGAAGGAAAAAAAGAGAGAGAGAAAATGTAGGTAGGCTGAAGTGCTGTTGCTTACCTGCGGCGTAAACGCAAATATCTTGTCATGTAAAGAATACAATTTACTAGTGCTGAGAATGCCCACGTCTCTCGACTTACGACCGGACAAGCCCAGTTTCTTATTGCGCCCTGAAAGCGAAAGATTGCGAAATGTTGGCCAGAGATTATCGTAATTCAACGGGACGATAATTTCAACTTTTGCCAAATCGAGACAATTTTGTTCGAGTCTTACCCAAGTACGTATAGAGATTACTGAGAACTTTCGCGGGCTGCACTTCTATCGGCGCGACCTCCGCGATCGTTTGCACGTGTATATCGTGCTGCGCCATTTTCTCCCTGATTTCGGTATCTTCCGCTAAAATGACCACCTGCACCACCACGTCCGGCTTTTTCTCGCTGCACAATCGCCTGTTCAACGGGTCTAACTCACCGGCAGCCAGGAATCCCTACGAACACGATAAAATATTCGTCGTCGATGTAACAGTTGATGCGGCGCCGCGTTGATTGCACGAAATTAATATCGAGATTTAATTCCGCCCGCTTCACCTCCTGTAACAATTTCCCGAGAATGTAGAGAGACTGCGCCCACATAAACGGACACCTGCCCAAGGCTATTCGGTTTTGGCTGCCGGGCTCGGCGTACTCCGCCGACACGTCCTCGGAAGCGACGGAATACAACTCGGGCACCAATTTCATACCGTCCTCGGTTTTGATCATCACCTCTTCCAGTTGCTTCGTATATACCGCGGCTGCTTCCTTGTTACCTTGGAAACAGTAGTCCAATATTAAGTAACAGAAGAATAACGGCCATTCGCACTCGATGTTCTCGAACATACGGAGTTCCCAGGGCTCGTAGTAGAGTCTATTTATCAAAATAAGAATCCATCATCATCCGAGTCGTGAAATTTCCAAGGAAGCAGAGAACGACTGCGAATATAAATCTCTTGCCTGTTCAAGTCTTCCTTGGGCGTTCTGTACCCGTCCCTCAAGAACCTCTTACAACCATATCGACCTTGTAATTTCCTGATAATAGCATCCCTAGTCAAATGGATGAAATTAGGCTCGTCCACTGCGAATGCGGGGAAACTGATGATCGACAACAAGCCGCTGTCCAACTCCTTAGAATTCGATTCCCTAGGCAGCATGGATTGCAGCACTGCTTGACACTTCTGCGCCTCGTCGCCCAGAACATGAATGACCGACGTAGGCCCGCCCCTAGCACCGAACAGATCCAATTCGTTCATTGCTTCCATCGCGGCCTTGGCCATTCCGATACTGCTAGCGTTTAACTCCGGCAAGCCGTGATTAGTCTTATCCCCCCGTTCCCAAATCCCATAGTCTGGAGTACAGTAAGCAGACTCGATGTAAAATACCAAATTCTGAATGAAGGCCACCTGAAACATTAAAACAATACATATATACATATATCTCTTGGCAGACCCTTGATTAATAATTCACTTTAATTAATTCCACAAAATAATTCAGAAATTATCTTATTGTGTGAGCATCACAGGAAAGCTCAGGTCACAATAAACGATAAAGTTTATATATCTGATTGGAAAGATTATAGTTTCTATTACAAAAATGCAAGCTTCATGAGAGTTATATTATTACCTCATCTAAATTGAAAATGATTTGCAAACCAGAAGCTGTCATCTGAGCCAGAATTAGAAGGTACAGGGAAATTGCATCAATTTGAAGATGTCCCCATTCGGTATCCCCAACTACAGTTTGGCAATTGACAGAACTGTACTTTGCGTGCAAGGCATCGTGTGGATTTTGAGTAGACTTGAACTTTTCTACTTTATCCTTCTGCTGCATCATCGCCATCAGCAGACCTCTCATCAGCTTGACGCAGCTCTGTTCAAGTTCGTAAGTCTTGGCTCTGTCCTCGTCGGCATCGGCTATCTTTTTGTATGCCATCGACAGGCCCCACACGGCGAGAATACAATAAATATTGTCACGTATCCAAGCATGGTCATTGTTGGGACTGGCAGGAAAGAGTCCTGTCACCGGATTCTGGTGATTCATGATTATTTTATGGACAATTCGTTGGTAATAGTCCAAACGAACTCCTGAGTTGCTTCTGCTACGCATCTTGTGCTGCAAAAGATCATAATTGACTTTGCAACTTGACATCGCATGCTTAGATTCACAGATATATAAGATTCCAATGTTATGTCTGTTTTTTAAATATATAAAATATATTTTATTTAGATTGTAGCTATTCTTTATGAACTGAGAATTATTTGACTTTCAAAAATCTAAAGTTAACAAACTTGCTCTCTCCACTTTGCATTAATAAGTAAAATACATGCAGGAATACAATTTATCACACAACAGGTATAATAATTTCGTACGTAATATGTTAGTACAAATAAATGTAGAACATTAAAAATGACAAATTAATTACAAACACAAACAGTTATTTCCAAAGCAAGGTACAAAAGGGGGAGAGGGTCCAAATTTATACACAGGAACGTTTAATTACAAATTAAGGTTAAGACTGCTGTGACTATAAATTAAACCGTACTTCGTTGACAAATGGCAATTGTTGATCTTTGGCACTAATAACGACGAATCTGAGATCCCTTCAAACTACACTTCGAACTACGAGAGTAGGATCACGTGGAAGAAACCGAGGAAGCACATTTTTCTTACGCATTAAGAAAGAGGTGACTATATACACGGGAATTTAAATTACAATGTGAAACGAATGTCAGGCACATTCCATTTATATCACTAGCTAGAGGGATAAATCGTGAAGCAACGAATATAAAGGTCCACTTATGCAGGCTATAAACCATTAACTTACGCCGAAAACATGAAAAATTGACCAATCACAGTCGAGTTATAGAAGGATGAACGATTGTGATTCGTTAATTTCTTACGGATCCATCATAACGGTTTATGACCTTAACATATCTGGCAGACTCTGGAGCGTAAATGGGATTGTTTCGAGTGCAAGTGTAGAAGAGCCCGCCATCTCTGGACTCTCGGCGCATCTATCTCCAGAAACCAACCAAGAGGTACAAAAAGTAAGGCAGTTACTCATTTTTGTGTGAATGCAGCAGACCAAACCGACTTGACCGACAGGGCTGCAAAGTGATGGTAGCTGAAGTAACTTGCATCTTCTCGTTTAGAGGACGCGTCAGAAAAAAGTTGCAACTCCGCTGTCACCCAGTGGCGCAGACTCGTGTACCTAATCCGTTCCACTAGCGCTACCTACATCTAGTAACATATAATAAGTAAGTTGTCGGCACTGGACCGACCGAGAGAAAAAGTAGCTAACGTTTCGGAAGACACGCATAGTATGTACGTTAACAAAAAGTAATATATTTGTTATATGTCGTTCGCATATCTTAAAGTACTCAATCTAAACCTATCGCACCTGTCCCTCTCTCCGGTAAATCACCGTCTACCATAACGTCTCGAGAAACCCGGGGAGTACTTCTTCTCTCTGGGTTTCTCTCGTTACTGTCATTCCAAAGCGCAGTTTCAAAGTCGAACAGGCGCCTCGCTCCAGCCGCGTTGCAATAAGCGAGGCGCCTGTTTGCAGAACGATTCCCTAATCGCCGTCCACCAAATAAAAAAAGTTCAGAGAACGGTTTCAAACGAACAGTTGAGAACGTTGGGAGGTACAAGATTTGTTTGAAAAACGGGTTTCAGATGGTCTCCAATTGGCCACGTTGAAATACACCGACAGCGTATTGAACGTAAAACGTCTCTCGAACGTTTTTGTGCTGTCCGGGCCATTGTCAAACTTTGAGCACGGTCCACGTGACACTTTCGAATGCTCTCGGAGAGACGCTTTTGTTCCCCGCGCTTACAGAGAGAGCGGTCTATTATTATTACCGGGTATACGATAAAAAAGACTCGGTTCTTGCGATTGAACAAGGGCCAGATGAAGATGCTCGGTGACGGAAGAAATGATAAATCTCTGTTATCGTGACAGAGAATATTCGAACATTCAGCTGCATCGAAACTCTCGGTTGAGACAACTGAAAGCAATTGACGGGGCAGAAATCTCCTGCAGGAGTCTTCTGTTCCTACAACCGAATTTTCGACAACGGAAAATTCAATAACATCAACGGAATTGTTTTCTTTCGTGTAGAGAAAACTTTTAAAAGGCGTCTTTTAGGTGTCGTCAAAACATCGTTTAGAAGTTTCTACTATCTGAGTCAACGTCGTCAGCGTCACATGAATGGACTGATGTAAACCATTGCACGGCTTCCCATATTCACGGAAAAAATGAGTCCGTTAGTGCAACTGAATTTTCCGTTACCTAAAAATCAGACGGAGTCTGATTTAGTTATAGAAACAGGAATATTCCTGATCCAGTTATAGAAACAGGAAGTTTCCACTCTCAGTCAATCGCTCTCAGTTGAGATTCTTGACCGAATTTTAACGCAACTGAAAATGTTCACATGAATGTTCTCAAACGCGGTCACAGAGATATTATTTCCTATTTTCACACAATTTTCATTTCTCTGAGTCACTGAGTTTTCATCTAACAGAGAAAGAGATTTCTTTGAATTAAATCAAGCTTCTTTAATTGAAACGAATTTGTTTATCGAAATGAAGCAAACAAACGAATGTTTGGTTGAACAAACAGGTTTGTTTGATTCCTCAAACGATAAATATTTTTACGTCAAACAACATAATTCTCTTGTACCTCATTCGAACATTACAATAAATTATCTGAAAGAAGTAACATTATGTTAGAAAAATATTAGGGATCTTCTTTGTTTCAATGGAACGATATTTAATATAGTATAACGAAATAAACTTTTCTCTTATTGAAAACCAAATATTAGATATTTCCCCCAAGTTTTTCCTAACAATCTGGCTTACTCTAGCGAGACACTTTAATTCAAACAAAATAACATCTAATATTAAATTATGTTGTTAAACAAACCCAAGTCAAAGAAACACGCATATCGGGTCCAAAGAAACCTTTTTTCCACGTACTTATTTAGTTTTTTTTAACAAGAACCGAGTTCTCCCACGTTGTGTTCTCGTGCGTCGATAACGAGCGCACATCGCAATACTAGAATTCACAGCGCAAAGAAAGAGAATTTCAAGTCGTCTTCGAGACAAGTTCGCTGTCCGTCGCGTATTGCCGTGTCGTCGCCGTGGCGCCATACTTGGCGGCAAACAATGGCGCGAATTTTTCGTAACACACGCAGGTGAAAAAAAGGAAAAGTTTATAATGCCCGCGAAGAATTTCTATAGCGGTTGTGCGGCGTGGGCGCCGACACCTCGTTCGACTGACACGAGGTGCGGGGCGAGGGGCGAGATCGGATGAGAGCACGGGTGAGGTAAGATGAGCGCGGGCGAGGGACGACGAAGAGGAGACGGGGGAGAGAAGGGGGAGCGCTTCGCGCTTTATTACTCCAGATTGGACATAGCAGCAGATCTTCGCGCTAGCGCCGCAAACTTCTCCTGCGCTACATCATCGCCGCAGAGACCGACGCCGGAGAGAAGCTATACGCGGCCGTACGCATCTCCGCGCGGAGTCATACGACGGCGCCAACATTCCCATCATTTAACGACCTGCACACGCCACTTATTCTCTGCGTGCGTGCGCGCGCATACACGCATACGCGCACCGTACACCAGCCGCCATATACGCCTTGACATTATAACCGGGGGATCTTCAACCTTGCTCACGTGTAACGCGTGAAGTCCAGAAATCGCGGGGGAATCTTCAGCGAACACAAATGCTAAAGTACCGCGAGGTGTTCGCTAAACCTTCAATGAGGCAATGAATGTTTGCAAAGTCGGAACTTTCTAGTCATTCGACGAAGCGGCAGGACCAGTTCTGTGAGTACGCGAGTATCGAGAAAGATGTTCTGGATCTGCGTGCGAATGAACACTTCAGGATCTAGAAATTTCGTAAGTTTTAAGCCTCCTGCCGTCAAGCCTGGGTAAACGTCGATCCACTTTTCTTCGAGGTATGGATCTCACTTTTCTTCCAAAGGGGAGGGAGAAAGAGACAGCCCGAGTCGAAATTTTAGCCCCAGTTTTAAGTCTAATTTAGTTCTACGTTAAGTATTCAAAAGTCTTCTATTCTGCTCCTTTGATGCTACAAATGACGAAGTTATTTCTCCACTTTCGTTTTCTCCACTTGAAGACTTAATATGAAACTAAAATTTAGGCTCTGGAGAACTAAATTGTCGGTGAATTTAAAATTTCGACTCGGGAGAGAGAGAAAGATACTATTTGTCGCTTATTTAAATTAAACATATATATTACAGACGCGTGCAATTATAAATGCATTCAAGAATTCCGCGCATAATCAGGCGTTAATTCACGCCGGGATAGCTGTTAATGTGAATACGATAAGTCCGACCACGCGATACGAGGCCGACGGCACCGTAAGGAAAAGCAGCACCTTTCCCTGTCTCTCAGCGCAGACACTTGTCGTGAATATTTAAATTTTATAGTATTTTCCGTCTGGTTTATGATAATCGTTTGCATGATAATCGCGTGGCGCCGCCGATTAATTCCACTCGCGATACGTCGCAATATCTACGCTCGCGCGACGCCAGGCCGAGCGAAGCTTCGTCGGATGACGGATCCGTCTATGTCTCGTGAAACGACAGCAAAATATTTATATTGATGAGTGGAAAATTATATATAATATTGATATAATATTTGTTGGTGTTTACTGGATATAGGCCAGTAAAAGCCTACTTTGGCGATACCAACGCTTCTTAATTTCCCTCTTGAATGTTTAATTCTACAAATTTCATTTTAATGCTACCTTGAAAAATCGATTTTAACACTGAAGAACTTTGTGTCACATAATATTTGATATAAATTTTTCCCTCGAAAAGCAAATATTATTCCCTCTAAATAATATTGTTCCTTCTATCAACATAGTTTAACTAGTGAAATAACAATATTTTCACTTGATCAAAACGATACCTGATATTAAATTACGTTGTTTACATTAAACAAACCCAAGTCAAATAAACACGTATACCAGATCCGGAGGAACCTTTCTCGGTGTGACTATATGTGGAATTAACATAGGAGCCAAAATCTTACCCGAATGCAAAATGAAAAAGTGACTTTTTCTATCGAATGTT